ACAAACAAGATCAAATCTGCTCTGGTCTCACTTTTAACCGCTGCTCTCACAATAACTACTCCATTCCTTGAGAGTAGCATTACTCCCTCCAGAGCATGGCTAGTCCATGACCCCTGCCTTGTAAAGGCTCCACACCAGCTCACCACCAGCGAGCTGGGGCCAGGCTTGCAGTACATGAACCTTGGAAGACATACTCAAGCCACATCTCAACCATAGCACTATCCCTCCTGCTATAGCCAGAGACAAATACTTGTCCACACTTTGCAAACCATGAACAACAGAAGAAAACTGTGCACATTACACAGAAATATATATCCACTATTTACATGCAGAGATATCCATACTAGAAGAGTCATAATTCCTATATCTGCCAACACAGGGCAACCGAGCCCAGGAATTAACAGTGAGCCACGCTGCTAAACAGACTGCCTTTCTGCCACATCCAGAGCTGCATCATGAGTCACTGCTTTCCACCCGCAACCTTTTCTCATGAAGGCTTACCATGCTATGAGGTGGGAATGAGAATTATAGGAAAGAGGGCATTTTAGTTTAGGTCATGCTCACCAGTGTAGCAGGAAAATGCTAAAATCTCAAGAACTTAGCATAATAGATATTTCTTTCTTACTCAAGCATGGTCTTAGAGGATCTTCCCCACACTCTGCTGAAAATAAGATCCAAAAGAAGACAGGAAATAGCTCTAATCTAACTAGAAAAATAAGAAGGAAAAAATAATGACAGCCCAGTACTAAGGAAGAGTCTCTATCATTTTTGGCAGAGGGCACGGAGGACAGGTGCCTATGGACCCACATCCATACCAGGGTCTGTTACCAGCAGAGGGTGGGGCAGTTCTACTCCATGTGATCATGTGGAATGCAGAAACCCAACTGCCAGAGGGTCTGCTCTCTTCAGCACCAGCTTCTATGGTCACCCTAGGTGTCTGTAGAAAGAGGATAGAAGGGTAAAGGAGTAGGAGTAGGATTGCACTTGGTAATATAGTCTATGGACCAGGTATAAAATAACATGATCACTTCCCCCTATCTTCTGTCTACAAGACTTTAATCACAGGGCTATATATAATTGCAAGGGGATCCAGGAACTATGGGGTCTAAGAGGAAGGAATGTGGGGTCCACAAGCAACTATTCTCCTTGCTGAGAGAGAGGTAGGGGGAGGGGGTCACACCCTAAAATCCTAGCATGGTTTTTCACTTCCAGAGCTTGATTCTGCTGCCCTCTCTCTAGGAAGTGCTACACGGCCTCCTTTCGATTTGCCGAGTCCTCCTGAACCCTGTTGTGCCAGCTCTTTTCTGAGAAGGTTTTCCCAATGGCCACACACAGACATGAGGGTACCCAGACATCACTGTGTCACTTTGCAGCCCTCTGTCCCTGAACTCAGCACCTCATCCCTCAGCGGGCCACCAGCCACGTCTTCATCTTAAGACCTGGTCACCTAGCACCATACCTGACATCTAGTAGACATTCAGTAAATGATTACTGAAGTTTTATCTCCACAAGCCAGCATTTGAAACCAAGGAAAACACTGCTCAGAGGACTTAAGGGATTTGTTCAGGGTGTAAAGGAATAAATGGGAGAAATGAGATGATAATCTAAGCCTTTCTGATTCCCTAGACATTTCAGACTGCTCCACACTCCCATCAAAGGGGCAGCAGAGCTGGGAAAGTTACATTTCATGAAGGAATGTTTTGTTTCATTTTGAGGAAAGCTATGGACTATTGACTTTTCCACAGTAAAATGCAAGTGTACACACACACACACACCCCAGATTTTGAATGTGGCATTAGAGTATATAGGGTGGCTGTGGTTGCAGACACATAAAACCATAAAACCTTTAATCCTTACTCACCCAATGTCCTTCGTGGGCCAGAAGGGCTGTCCTCTTTCAGGTGACTCCAAGTGTAGGTTCCTCCACTGTAAGATGTTATCTCCACTTCCGAGTCACCAGCATGGAAAGAGACAGAGAAGCCACAAGTCAATAGCCAGCATCAACTAGATGACAGAATGAACCATCAAGCAGGTGAGTAAAGCCATCCAGGCAAGACCAGCTGGGCCACTCAGCTTAGCATAGACCTCCAGTGGCTCAAAGAACTGTGAGATGTTAAGTGATGATTGCTGCAAGCTACTATATTTGGGGCTTATTTGTTATGCAGAAAAGCTAACAAATACAAAAATAGGATCCAGAAATGGAATACTACTATGGCAAAATAATGTGGGAGATTGACTAAGCAGAAGTTGGAAAATCAATTATCAAACTTGGAAAGACAGCAAACTGTTACTGGGTTCATAGACTCAGGCTTATGAATTCTTATATGCAGTTTAAAGGCTTAGAGGCATACGATCCATTTAGAAAGCCCTCTCGCAGTCTGTGATAAGACCTATGCCCCTTAGTAAGAGCAGCTGGGCCACAGGAGTGGTAAAGGTGCAATGCTTTTCCTAGATCTCAACCGGTGCCGACAAGCTCTAGAAGCAGAAGAAAGCCTCAGAATTTGAAAAAGTAGAGTTAGAGGGTCAGAACAAACTTGTATCTAGCCACATACTTGCTACTGACCAGCTGTGAAGCCATAGCCCAGAGGTATGGAAAAATGATCCTTAGTTGTTGGTTTATTGTCAAGGTAAACAAGATGATGGCTAGGAAGAGAGCTAAATTGCTAAAACCTGTCCATGAAAAATCTATTTGTATCCCTGCAGACCAGACAGAGGTGAGCAGCACCTGAAAGCACCAGAGGCACTGTAAAATTAAAATTCCAGGAAACCTATTGGAGCCTGAAACCAAAGAACCCCAGCCAAGTCAATTGGGAAGGCTTTCTTGCCCAAATGACATAAGCATACAACCTAAACAGTGAGTCGCATTTAGCCAGGTGGCAAATTTTTAGGGCAGAGGGAGCACCAACCAAACACCCTGAAGGAGAGCACAGGATTCACTTGTGTAACTGCCCTTGCTGAGACATGCAGATCCTGCTAGAGTCCTGCAGGTGGAGGATGTCCAAGGGGAACCCTATCAGCAAGGACCTGGCTTCTCTTAAATCCATGCAGACGTGGAGAGGACCAGGATATTTCTTGGAACTCAAAGTTCTGCTTGTTTACAAACGATTAACTACCTCAATCGATTGTGTCAAAGTACAGGGCCCCTGCACCCTTTGGGACAGTGCCTGTGCTTGAGCCGATGACTGGAACACATGCAGATTGGTCTGGCAGCAGAGGTTGGGGTCTGTGTTTGGAGCACAGTGAATGGGAGGGCACCACTGTTCTCCATCCCCTTGCCGCTCTTTCTTTTTAAGGTCCAATCCAACCTGGCTACTCTGGAAGACACAGCAGGGTGGGGAGAGAGTGAGTCTAGCATTTAGGAGAACTCCGGTGTAGGCCAGGAGCAAGGTTAAGGGATTCGTGTTCTATACATTCAAACCTCAAAACCCCTTATGAAGCTGGTATTAATGAGTTATTATCCCCACCTTACAGATGTGCAAACAGACAGAAAAATTATGCAGCTTGTTGAAAGACAGCACATCCTTTCCCTGGGCCACCTCACATGTCCCATGTCACCTCTGCCCTCCAGGGTTCCTCCCCTACCCCATGATAGCAACAGCAACTACACCAGCGTCCACCATGAATCAGCCCACCATGGGCTGCTGATCCATTTTGTAATGCCAGGTTAGGGTTGACTTTGTTGATTTTGCAGCATCAGGAAGGTCTTTTTAGAGCCTCTGTGTTTTGCATATCACCACTGAGTTTGCGCGGGGTGCTGTCACACCACAGTCCCCCATGGTCTTCCCCACAGGTAGGTGGCGCTGTCTCCAGGTTGGAACCAAGACTGATGTGCATGAAGTTGAGTGTGAAGTGTGAAAACAGGGCCACACCCGATCACAGCCAATCACAGGCATTCCTAGAGGTTTTGAGGTGCACAGCTTATGCCAGCTCAAAGGCACTGTGAGGTGCTATTTTCCTTGAAGTCAGTGAGGGACAGCAGGTTAATCTGTGAACTATGGAGAACAATAGACAGATGAGGTGGGTATGCCCCCTCCCCGGGCTCAAATCAAACAACCTTGACTCACAAGACTTCAGTGCTGCCCGCCTTAGCTGTGGCCTTGAGTGTGGGAGAGGTGACAAGCGGGCGTCACCAGTGTATACTGAGCTCCTCTTAGGGTGATGGTCACCGTGGTTCTTCAGCGACCCCAGCTAATATTAGAGAGGAATGTTATTTCTACCGGTACCAATCATCTTTTCCACTTCATCTCCTGTCCAGATCAGGGAAGCCACCTCTATTTCCCTAAATATAATGAAATTCTACAATTATTTTTGTATTTTTATGATACGGTATTTAGTCAACATTTTCACATTCAGTACCTTGTCTGGTTCTCCCAACTCTTAAATGATAGGTGGGCACAGCCTCCCAATTGTAATATGAGGAGACAGAATCAGAGACACTGGGTAGAATAGTACTTGCTTATAGAGAGAACACATCGTATGTCTAGAGTGTTTGGAATACTTATATTTATGTAACCTTTACAACAACCCTGTGAAGCGGATGCTATTTATTATCCCTGCTTTACAGATGAGGAGTCTAAGTCTCAGAGAGGATCAGTAATTTGCCAGCGGCCACATGGCTAATGAATTAAAATAGAATTTGAATTCGGGTAGATGGGCTCAAGAGCCCTTCTCAAAATCACACAGCTAAAAAGAGGCAAAACTGGGATTCAAACCTGGGCCCTACTGACTCCAAATCCTGCATTCTACTTAGACCAGCTCACCTGTCTGAGTGCTCAACACGAACCTGTGCTATGCACTTTCCTTACACTAACTTGTTTAATCATCATTTTACAGGTGAGGAAATCAAAGCACAGAAATAACTTGCCTGTGGTCCCAAATCTAAGGAGTGGGAGAGCCACAGTGTAACTGCCTCCCTAATAGCCCGGCCTCTCTGCTGCTAACCTGAGCCTTGTCCACAAGAACACAAACCAACCTGCTACAGAGTTTGCCACCACCCTCGCTGGCTGGCAGAGGCACAGGCTCAGGTCCGTTTCCTGTCTGTGCGAAGTCCATGGGGATTCCAGGCACTGGCAGCCTTCTGTTTGCTTTGCTGAGCTCTTTGCTCTGTGGGGACCAGAAGCCAACAACTGAACTTACTGTGCAGGCTTCTCAGGGCCCTGGAGCTGCCTTGGGCCTCCTGTCACCCAGAGAGAATGAAGACAGGGGCATGGGCTGGGAGGGCGCTGGCAGAGGTGTTTCTCCTCGGCACTGCCCTGGGCTGTCTCAGTTTACCTGGCTCCAGGTAAGTGCTAGTTACAAATGAACCTCTGATCAATCATGTGGCAGGGAACAAGAAGCCACATAATGCTGACTGGCTCTGAGAAGACTCGCATATTTGTTCTGTATTCAAAACAAAGCCTAAGTCTGACTATGCAAAAACAGTTTTATTGTGTGTGGGAAAAAAGAGCCAATTTATATGAATGGTTTTAATATGTGAGTCACCCAGTCACTCCCCCTGCTCAGCAGCCCTAATCTTTGATTTCTCCAGGTCGCTCCTCCTCTTCCTCTTATTCCTCCTTCTCTTCCTCCTCTTTCCTTTGTCTTTTTCCTCCTCTTCTCTTCCTCCTCCCTTTGTTCCTCATCTTCCTCCTCCTCCTTCCTCTTCCTTCTCTTCCTTCCCTTTACTTTCCCCCTCTTCTACCTTCTTTCTTCCTTCTTCTCCTTCTTCCTTCTCCCCTTTCCTCCCCACCACCAAATGTGCACAGCAATGCTAGCTGATTTATTTCGTCATTTTAAGTCCCCATTAATAAGGTGCAAAACAAGCTAAAGAAAATATCTTAGTGGGGGCTCAAGCTTGGACTCCAGTGAAGCACATGCTGGAGGCTTGGCCATTTGGGGCTCTCCTGGTGCAAGAGATGCAGACACCCTCAGGTTGGTGCCCCTCGTCTCCTTGTGAGTGCTCCTACAGGAAGAGAGACTGTTAATGCGATCCCTAAAATTAGTGCAAATCACCTCATGAGCACAACCCTTCATTTAGTGAGGGCAGTGCCCATTCGACACACCCTTTGCTCTGAGTCCTGCTGAATGTTCAGCACCTGGTAGGCACCGTGGCTCCAAGACCAGGACTGTGAGTCTCACTATTAGGATCATCATCGAGACTAAAGCTGGCTGTCAAGGCTTTCACTGTGTGCACACGTGCACAGAGTAGCAAGTGAGACGCAAGGAATGGAGGGCTTAAGAGAACAACAGCAGTCCTACCTGCAGCACTGTGCCCCTGCCAGGTGGGCTCTGCGATACAAGGATGAGAAAGACACAGCTCCCATCTCCTGGAGAAGGCCAGTGTGTGAGCACATTCTACATGGACCACTGCAGGAGACGTCTGGGGGCAAACAGGACACAAGGAGGGAGGCCCCAACTCCACTGAGCGTGAGGTCTAGAAAGGGGTGAAGGGTGTGGTGGGCAGAGGCATGGAAGCATGAGAGCCTGCTGGTTGTTCCTGAGGTGGTGCATGCATTTCAGTAGCCATGAGACAGGCCAGTAGGAGCTATGAGGGATATGGAGCAGCTATAGATGGGGGGCTGCTTATGGGCAGGGCTGGAAGGAGGACACCAAGCCAGCCACACAGCAGGAACCTCATCCTCTAGGCAATGGGGAACCATCAAGGCTTTGGAGAGAAAGAGCTACACAACCGCAAGTTCACTGGGACTTGGGAGTGGATGTTCCAGAGGGTAGGAGAGTGTGGGTTGGGAGACCTAACTCAGTTCTCAGGGCTGTGGCATGGGGTGTGCGCTCTTCTCACTATGTGGAAGGCAGACTGATTTTGAGAGAGAAGAGAGTCGCTCAGGGTAGTGCACGTCCAGCTCTTTTCTGAATCTAGGTTTAACGTTCTGACTTCACCGTGATTCCTCCGCAGAGATCTGAATACAGTGAGGATTTGCATTTCAGACAGCAACAGTTCAGTAGTTCTGGAGCAGTAACTGCTGAAACCTCCTTCACATTAGCTAAAAGACAGTTTTCATTTTCATTTACCTTGCCATCAAGTAACAGTGTCATAGACCTATTGATTGTTATTGATCACAAGATGCCTCCTCTCCCACATTAGCTCATCCTTATCGCTATTCAAGGGTGCTGCTACTGTTTACAGTCAAACAAAGAAGGAAACTGAGGCTCAGAGAGAGAGTCATTCAATGTACAGCAGGAAACAGCTTCAAATCCAGCTTCCTTTTGGACAAGTGGAGTGGCGATCCAGAACCCCTGTGTTCTGTCTGCACCTTCCAGTACTTCACTAACACATTGTCCCCTTTCCACCTCACAGTGCCCCTGGTTTCCTGGACCTCTATGCACTTTCTCTGTCTCTGTTGTCTTGGGGAGTTGCTTGAAATTGAAAGCAAACGACAGAGAAGAGAAATTGAAAACCTGCCACCCAGAAGCTGCCTGCTTCTAACACAGAGCAAAGCTGCAGTTTGCAAAAGGGGTGCAGCTGCCTAACAAATTGTGTGTGACAAGAAACTTGTTGTGTCAGGGCATTTCTACAGAAAGCCAAAATATATTGATGCATTCCGTCTATATAAGCTGATGGCTTGAAATTTACTGCTGACCTCATCCTGCTGTACTTGATGGATCCATCTTTATTTTGGTCAGAGATGCCTGTTAGAAAGTGCTGGGAAGACTTGGACCCAGTGAAATAAGTCATATGTTTGTGGCAGGATTCTATGCATCCCCGGGAATGGTACATCCCTGCCAGCTTTCTGTGGAAGCAGCACACATTCAAGGCCGTGCACAAGGTGTTTTATAGCATTATTTGTAATTACAAAACACTGGGGAAATATAAATGTCCCTCAAAAAGAAGAAGAATCAATTAAATGCAATATATGTCTTAGAATAAAGCATCCAGATTTAAAAAATAATGTAGATCTCTTTATGTATCAGCATGGAGAGGCCTCAGAAATGCAATGTTGACTGGCAGAAGCAAGTTACAGAATAAAATGCACAATGTGGGGAAAACACACAAGAGCAACACTATATATAGATAGGGATTTTTTAATTAAAAAAGCAAATACTTAGAGCAAGTGTGCCCAAAGATTAACAATGGGCAATGGGGCTTGAGTACAAGATGGGCATTATTTTATTTTACTTTTTACTTCTCTAAGCATGCATACTTTTGCATAATTAAAAACATACAAGGGATTTTGAATGACAGCAGTCCAGCCAGTTTGTCAAACTGTCCTAATGTCCTGGTTTGTCTCTACATAAATTTAAAAGGGTGAAAGGCTCAGTAATCATTTGGCGAAGCCCCAATCCGACCCGTTCTTTATGTAGCCCCACGCTATTCCCAGGAATTAAGATACAGTTTGATGCTAGCCTTTCTTCTAGATTTGCATTTTGCAGTACTAATAAACTGCATGGCCTTACCCAGTGTAATTTACAAACACACCATTTATTCAGCTGATTACTTCATTATATTGCCACCTCGGTAATGAAAATTGGGTGCGAAAATGAGAGATCTGGTAGTTATAACTTTTTTACTAAGTTCTTTCTGTGAGTGATCATCTTGCCCATTAACAGGCTTTCAAATCTCAGAGAGGAAAATAATTGTGACTCTTAATAGCTGGTGTGTGTATCACTTCTCCACTCAGTCTCCACTGTGGCCCCGAGTTGCGCTGATCATTGCAAAAAACACAATGCAACTGTTTTGAAGTTGAAATAAGAGGAGGGTACCCTGCAGAGCTGTCAAATACATACTTGGGAGAAGCCAAATCACAGACAATATTGTTTTGTCAAACCTGGGCAAATTAGTAGATAGGAGCTCTTTCCAAGGCCCCCCGAGGGAGTGCAACATTCTGTCTCCAGCAACCACTTTACAGCATCCACCTGTGGTTTCCAGTGGAGTCTTTGACCTTTTGTTAAAGATCCAACTTTACTAGACCATCGATTTTTGCTGGTCTCTGGGGCAGTCATGGAGATGGATTTCACCGTGATTAATATCATCCTCCTTTTAGGACTTTTACCAAGTGAGAATGTATTGTTAATGACCTTGTCTGCAGTGACATCCTGAGTATTTGAGATGGTGAAAATTCTGTGATGCTCTCCCTAATGGCTCAGTCTGGTATACAGGGACGAAGGAGGCCTCAGGAGATGGCAGGGACCGGTGAAGTGAATGCTGGTCTGGTGCCCTTCCACCCAGTGTGGGCAACGGACAGAGCACAAGCTTTGGGGTCAGAGCTCAGCTCAGATCCCAGCACCACTGTGTACCACATGGCGACAGTGGACAGATGTCCGTAGTATCTGTCCCAATTATGCCCATTGTCCATAGTTGCCTTCTGGCATTGCGGTGAGGTTCAGATGTGGTGGCGTGGGTGGAACCCAGTGCCCAGTGCACAAGTGTACATCACAGCACACTCAGCATGTTACAGATGGGGAAACTGAGGCATGGGCAGAGTCAATGACATGCTCACTCATTCGCTCGTGACCCGCTGCAGTCCAAGGCAAGCAGCAATGCCTTAACTTCTAGATGTGTGTCAGGCTCCCTGTCTCTTGCCTGCTCAGCAGATGTGACGTCATCTGCCATCTCTGTCCCCGCCCCCGCCCACTCCCCTCCATGGACTCCCTATGCCCTGGAGAGTCTGTTATGGCCCCATCGCTCCTGGACAGTGGGGTGCTGATGGTCCTCAGGGCTTGTGCATGCTCTGCTTCTCCTCTCCAGAATGGTCTCATCCTCCACTGTAGGTTTTCACCATCAGATCCGTATTTCTAGTACAGACCTCTCTTCTCAAGTTCTAGGCCCATGTAGGAACTCGGTCCTGACTGTATCCACAGGAATGTGCTATGATGAGCAGCTGAAGCTCAGCCTGCCTCAGCCATCTTCCTCAACACACCTTCTCCTATTCCTTGTGTTCCCGACCACTCATGCTCTTATGCTGGAAATCAGCATTGCCCTAAACCCTTTCTGCTCTCTAACACCCCTCCACCCCAGCCACTCATCCAACACCTGAGCACTTCCCCTCTCTCCCGCAGGTCCCTGTCCCTGGTCACTGCTCGGGGGCACTCCTGGCCCAGCCTCCTACCTGCCACCCTGCAGCCTGGAGCTCCTGACCCCTACCCAGCCTGCCCTTGTCCCCAAGCATGGCTCTTCCTCAGGGCCTACATGCTTCAAACCCTGCCTACCACAGACAGTCCCGCAGCACTAAGCTGTGAGTTGTGTTTCTCTTTTTACGTTCAAAGGCAAACTGTGTGTTCCAAAGGCAGAACTGCATCTTATATTTCTGCATATTCTCTGTAGCACAACACCCTGAATGCCATTTGTTCTTAGCAAATGTTTCACAGACTCTTCACACGAAAAGGCACCTTAAAGACCATCGAGTCCAAAGCTCTCCTTTTCCAGAGGATAAAACAGAGGCCAGAGATGGGGAGTGAATTACCCAGAAGGATACATGTAGCTGCATTCCCTGCACATCTGTAGCACTTTAGGCTGTGTAAAATATTTAACTGTACACTATCATTTTTAATCCTAGAAATAACCTTCTGAAGAAAATATGATTAACCCCATCATACCAAGGTCATCCAGTTACTATGGATGATTTTCAATACTCCTTTGACCACAGCTAGCCATAATGTTGGGCACTTATTGGGTGTTCAATAAATATTTGTTGGATGAATTAACCTGTACTGAAAGCATAAACTAATAGCCTTGCAAGAGTGAGCAAGTATATATTTATTGGATGGATGGACGGACAGTTGGAAGAGTGTGGAATTCCTTTCTACTTCTTAACTCTCTTCTTTCATGAAAACTGTTTAGAGGTGAAAAGCCAATTTTCCTTGAGTCAAGTACAGCCAACAGGAGTTTGGCTAAGAGCAGACAGGTGCGGAGTGTGGACGTTGCCCCGACACCCATCGACTGTGAATTGTCCAGATGGTCTTCCTGGACTGCATGTGACCCCTGCCAGAAGAAAAGGGTAAGAACCCAGGCTTGGGAGGCTCTGGGCACCCAGGAGCCCTGGTCCTTGGTGAGATGGGCTGGAGCATTGCCCACAGTGCCCGGTGCATGGTAGGCCCCCGATGAATACTAGCTGATTAGCTGAGGAATCCTTTTCCTCCGTTTCCAAGCGTCACTCCCATCCTTTCCTTGGCCTTTCATCTGCCCTTGTAGCTTCCTAGTTAGACTTCCTGCCTCCCCTCCTCTTTCCAGCCATCCCTTACAGTGCAGCCAAGGCGACCCACTCCAAGGCTGCCTGGCCCGTCTGTCCCCAGCTTGAAGCCATTCAAGTCTAGCCAATCCTGAGGACCAGGCCAGACTCTACATCTGCAGAATGTCCCCCCTGCAGCACCCCGAACCCCGCTGTCTTTGCAGTCCTTTCACTCTCCCTTTGCCCCTGCTGCTTCCTCACCCACCAGTGCCCTCTTGCTTCACTGGCTAACTGCTATTCAAAATTTAAAATTCTTCTCAGGGACCCCTCTTTGGAAAAGCCTTTCCTGATGTCCTTCACTTATATAAAGCAAGTAGCTCCCTACACCCCTATATCCTGGCATTTACAGCACCACAGTGTTTATTAAACGTGTAAAGATGTATTCTGGGTCTTAAGCATGCAGGCCTATTTCCAGCACATAAAATGTGCCTCATGAATATTGCTGTTTGAGCTCATTCCATTTTCGGACTTCTCGGTAAGGAAGGGAGGAGAATTACTGTTACATATTCTGTTGGACAGACTGGTAACCAGAAACTCGGAGTAGGTGAGTGGCTTCTTGGGGTCTCCCAGGAGCAGGTGCAAACCTTGAACTCAAGCCACTTGCTCCTTGTCTAGTGTTCCGCTGATAAAACCTCGAAGTTCCTCGATGTCTGTTCTTTGGCCCCCTTTGTCAGGGGAGGGCTGAGCCCAGATTCCAGCTCTGAGAGCCATGGCTATGTGCAGGGAAGGAGAATGGTTGCTGTTTCCCTGCTTCTTGGGAAGCCAGACCTGTCAGGGCTCAGACTCTGAAGAGGATGTGGAAGTAGGCCCAGGACAATTACACAGTTAATTGGATCAATGGGCAGAGCCGAGCAGAATCATTCAGCTCCCAGAGTAGGTTTTCTTGCTGAAGTTATCAACATTGATCCGATTATCTGGATAATTGCTTCATCTGCACCATAAACCAGGGAGTCTCAGCACGAGCCAGCCTGCCTGAGCTCCTCGCTCCAGGATTGCTGCTGTGATGCCTCAGCCAGGCAGCATCCCTGTCTGCAAGGTCACTGGCTGGACTCCAAGGACACCTCTCCAACCAGACTGAAGATGATGCCCCTCCGTCATTCCACACTCTCCAAACCCTCTTTGCCTTGCTAGTCTGCATCAGTCTTCTGGCAGTGTGTGTTGTGTGTGTGTGTGTGTGTGTGTGTGTGTAGGTATTATTTTATTTTTATTCTAATTGTCATTTCATGTTTGTACTTATTTCCAGAGTAGGGCACTCTACTTGATACATGTATATAATGAAAATCAGAGTAATTAGCATGTCTACCTCCTCAGACATGATGCATTAGGAACCTGCAAACTCTTCTCCCCGGTTATTTTGAACTGTGTAAGCCCTTGATGCCTGTACTTACCCCCTTGTGCTATAGAGCATTGGAATCACTTCCCTATCTCCAACTGTGTTTGGTTCTCCTTCTCCACTCCTCCCTAGCCCCCCACCCTCCTGACCCCTGGTGACCTCTATTCTACTCTCTGAGTCTCTATATTAGCGTCCACTTATAAGTGAGAATGTGCAGTGTTTGTCTTTCTGTGTCTGCCTTATTTCATTACCATGATGTCATCCATTCCATCCATGTTGCTATGAATGAAAGCATTTCATTATTTGTATTGTTGAATAATATTCTATTGTTATTTGCACTACTTTTTTTGTTGTTTGTTTGTTTGTTTTCTTTGAGACTCAGGTCTTGCTCTGTATTCCAGGCTGGCCTCGAAATCACTATGTAGCCCAGGCTGGCCTGGAACTTGCAATGATCCTCCTGCCTCAGCCTCCCAGGTGCTGGGATTACAAGACTGTGCCACCATGCCTAGCAACACCACTTTTTAAATCCATTCATCTGTTGATGGACACTTTGGTTCATTCAATATCTTTGCTATGGTGAATAGTGCCGTAATAGGCATGGTAAGCAGGAATCTCCTTGATATGATTTAATTTCCTTTGGCTGTATGTATACTCAGTATTGGGACTGCTGAATCACATGGTAGTTATGCTTTCTGGTTTTCTGAGGAGCCTCTGCCCTCTTTTCCACAGTGCACACTTCCCTGCATCCTTGCCATTTGTCTATCATCGATGGAGAAATGTCTACACAGATCATTTGCCCGTTTTAAAATCAGATTACTTGGGATTTTCTTTTTTGCTGTTCAGTTGGTTGAATTCCTTATATATTCAGGTTATTAATTTCTTGTAAAATGAGTAATTTGCAAATATTGTTTCCCTTTGTACTTTGTCTCTAACACTATCATTTCCTTTATGGTGCAGAAGCTTCTAAGTTTGATATAACCCCCTTTGTCTAGTTTTCTTTTTGTTTCCTAAACCTGTGAGGTCTTCCCCCAACCCAGTCTTTCTACACCAAAGTCTCAAAGTGTCTTCGCCTAGTAGTTTCACAGTTTTGGGTCTTATATTTGGTTCATTAGGGGGGCTGATTCAGTTTCATCCTTCTGCTTGAGCATATCCAGATTTCCCAGTACCATTTATTGAAGAGTTTGTCCTTTCTCAAATGCATGTTCTTCATATTTGGTTGAAAATTGGTTACTATAAGTATGAGGACTAATTTCTGGATGTTCTACTCTGTTCCTTTGGTCTGTGTGGATATTTATGCCAACCCTATGCTGTTTTGATTACTACAGTTTTGTAGTATGTTTTAGAGTTAGAAAGCCAAGTATGATAATGCCTCTGGTTTTGTTCTTTGTTGTTCTTGCTGTTGTTTTCCCAGTATAAATTGAACCTGGGCCCTGGTGCACGCTAAGCGAGTGTTCTACCTTGGAGCTATGTCTCTGGCCCATTTTAATTTTATTTTCTCACTAAGTTGTCCAGGCTGGACTTGAGCTTGCAATTCTCCTGGCCCATCCTACTGAGTAGTTAGGATTATAGGCATATGGCACTTCCCCCAGGTTAGCTTTGTTCCTTTTGCTTGGAATTGCTTTGCTTACTTTGAGTCTCCTATGGTTCCATATGAATTCTATGCTTGTGTTTTTCTAGTGTTATGGATGAGTGAGCTTGAATAATAGAGATGCACCACACTCTGTGCCAGTTTCGAGCCCGTTTATTAAAGCCAGTGGCCGAGGGGTGCTAGTGCCCAGAGAGATTCCTCGTCAATGGGAAACAGTTTAATTTCTCCTTTTAAATCATCCTTTCAGTTGGGGAGGGCTCAGGGGAGAGCAAGCAGAATCTTACAGAGGCAGAACCATGGCAGGTTAGTGGGGGGCACAAGGAAACTTTACACATACTAGATGAGCTACAAAACATCCTGCAACTCTAGCAAGTTTACTGCCAAGCAGGATGTGGGGGTTTTGGGGGTTTTTTTCAAGCACAGGTACAAAATGACATTAAGGCACAAGATGGAGTCAGGTTGGCTATCACACGAGTTTTGTAAAGAATGCTCTTGGTATTTTGATGGGGATTACAATGAATCTGTAGATGGCTTTGGATAGTATGGACATTTTAACAATATTAATTCTTATTATTCATATTATTATGAATGAACATGGAGTGTTTTGTGTCCTCTTATAATTTTAATTTTTCTGTGTCCTTTAATGATTTTTGTTATGGAGAGTGGCGGCTTTGTATCCTACAACTTCGCTGGATTTTTAAAATCAGTTTCACCAGATTTTTGGTAGTCTTTAGAGTTTTTTATATATAAGACCATGTTATCTGGTATCAGAAGTAGTTTGGCTTCCTCCCTTCCAGTCTGGATGCCTCTCAGCTCTCTGCTGCCTCACTGCTCTGGCTAAGACTTCCAGTGGCACATTGAATAGGGTTAGTGAATGTGGACATTCTGTTTTGCTCTGGATATTAGAAGAAATATTTTCAGCTTTTCCCAGTGTAGCATGATGATGTTGGCTGTAGATTTGCCATATATGGCCTTTATTGTGTTGAGGGCTTTACAACCTAATTTGCTGAGGGTTTTGCAGACCTCAGCCCTGTCCTGACTCTGCCTTCTAAGAAGAATAACCCTTTGGAAGTACAAAGGAGCATGGGTGAACGGTGACCTAGGATTTTCAGAGCCACAAGTACAGGTGCCATCTAAGTGATCACTATGCTTTGTTAGTGCATCCTTGTGCAGAGGTTCTGCTATTCTTTGCACACCAAAATCTTGGCTGCGACTAAGATTTGGAAACTACCCAAACCTTCTCACTTCCTTCCCAGTACCTCTGCTTCCATCTATCCAGATCTCCGTCTTTCACTTTTCTCTCTAGACCTGATGAACTTCTTTTTGTTCTTCTGTCTCTCAGCTGTGGCCCAGCAATCTCCTCCACCAGGCTGCTCTTCTCTGCTATCTTCACATCGCTTTCGACATCTGCCTCATATTCCCGCTCAGCTACTGGGCTTCACGTTCCAGCCTAGACCTCACTCCTTCTGAAAGCCTCTCCCAGCCACCTGCGTTTGCATGGGAATCCCATCCGAGCTCACGGTGTCCTTGCCATGTGCCCATCACACTATGTGGCCACTGCCAAGTGCCCCCACCAGCAGCACCACCACCTGAGTCAGGGTAGAGGACAGGTTTATGCTTTAAAACCAAGCAACAAGCAGGCCAGCACAAATAATACCTACCTTCTTCAACATATGGTAGTACAATCAATATTTTTTGGAGTAAATAAGAAAGTAGAAATACAGTAATGGTAACTACTAAAATCATTAATATAAAAGAAAAATAACTGCAAGAAATTGAGTGTCTACTATGTACCAGACAAACGTAAAGAGACTGAGATTGCACATATATAATTTAATTTCCATAACTGTACATTTTGGAGATTCATTGTTCCCAGTATGCACAGGGTAAATTGAGATTCACAAAGGTTGCATCACTTACTCAGTGTCAAGTAACTAGAAAGTACCAGTCAGTTGTGACTTCAAAGCATAGGCTTTTTCATATCTAATACACTGATGCCTCAAACAAATGAGAATACACAAATCAACCCATCGGAGTCATTAAGCAGAGAGGTGGTTTGATTTTTGCTATTGAACCAGCTACATAAGTCCGCTTGCTAACTTTTGATTCCAAAGCCCATACCTTTTCCACACTCATCAATCCTTGACAGGTCACTGCAGATGCAGGGATGAAAGACAAGGTCCCTGCCCTCAAGCAAGGGGGAAATGTCAGTTAAACAGTCAATCACAGACCCTTAGGTATAAATAGTGGGGAAGCAGTGGGCTGGGAGAGCAGCCATCAGACCATTCTGTGCTCCCTGAGCCCTCACCTGCCTAGCACCTGTGTGCACACACTCCTCAGGGCTGGGATGGCTGCAGCCCCAAGCCTGGCTCACCCTGGTCCTCTCCACTGCAGTATAGACACGCGTACTTGCTCAAGCCCTCTCAGTTCCATGGGGAACCGTGCACCTTCCCCGACAAGGAAGTGGAAGACTGCGTTACCAGCAGGCCATGCAGAAATCAAGTGCGATGTGAAGGCTTCGTGTGTGCACAGACAGGTAGGTAGGCACAGGAATGGGGGTGGAGGCTTTCTCAGGAGAAGAAGGTGAAGGTGAGGGAGGGATGAGCCATGAGTAGTGCTCATCAGGGTCACAGGACAGGTCAGAGGCTCCTCTAGTTTCTGACCTCCTCTTACGTGTACTAGTTCACAAAAAGTTCCTACAATATAGGAGCATTCTTATCCTGCTTTTACAACCTGAGGAATGGAGACTCAGAGAGGTTACTTATCCAAGATCACATGGCAGGTACATGGAGAACTGCCCTTAGAAATTTTGGCACGCCGCTTAGATGCTTTGACATCAAAAGTATATGTTCTAGAACACAACTCCTGGGTCAGGGCTTATTTTGACTTTGGGACCTAGGTGAAAGCACCTAACTTTCTGCATTTCCATTCCCTTGATTTTCCATCAAGGGTGATGTTAACACATAAGTTTGGTGTGAGCTTCTGGTGCTATCATAGTTCTTTGGGCATTGTGAGTTCTGCTGGCTCTCTCAGAGCCCTGGGCTCCGCCATTCTGTTTAGCTGGGTGATGAGATCACTTATCTCTGAAAAGTTCCCAGAAAAAGAGTCCTTATCATGTGCATTTCTGCGTCACTGAGTCTAGAATAATCCCTAATGCACGATATAGTTAGTAAACTTACTGATTATTGGAATGAAGGAAAAAAATAAGGACAGATTGACAAAAGGAAGGAACGAGCATACAAAAGAAGAATTATCCACTGCAGAACTAAATAAACAGCTGTCTTTCCAACTCACCCACTTAGCTAATCCAAGTAAGTATCTGCTTCTCTGTTTCTCCAAGTCTCTGGTCAGAAATAAGGGTACTTTGACTAAATTATCTCTGTGGGGGTTGCAACTCTCTACATTCACTGTACCCATGTGGATTTGCTTCAAGATCTTTCAGAAAGAGGTAGGGATTCATAGAGCAGTTTCTAGGGCTACTGCAAACGCAAAATTCCATCCAATAAATCTGGGAGACTGTTTTACAAGGTATCCATGGACTCATAATGGCCAGTGTTCCATGATTCTGGCTGGAGCCATAATGGTTATTTGTGCAGGCTCTAGTTTAAATGCCTTGCAAGAAACATTTGAAGACCAGATCATTATTTTTCTGCTGTTAACATCCCAAGAACATTGGTTTACAATGACCAATACATCTAGGGAGATGGGGCCACTCATTCTATGGGCTATATCCCCCAACTATTTACAAATAAGAAAGGGAGTCAAGTCAGTGGGGAAAAAAAAGTTTAGGGGAGGCAAAAATGATGTAAATAATTTTTCACACTCCAAATAGCCGTGGTGCTGAAGGCAATGTGATTAGAATGTTATGGCTTCTGATCTGATCTGGCTGCAAATATTTACTAGCAATACACACTTGGCCCACAAAAGCAATAATAGCACAGCCCTTACTATGAGTTGGTACTATTTGATTTACTCATTCACATTCATCAGCATGCTATGAGATAGGTGTGATGGCTTCTCCATTCTCTAGAGGAAGAAATGGAGGCAGGCAGGTTTGGGAACTCATGCAAGGGGGCTCGGTCAGTGCTGTTAACTGGATCCACCAAATCCAGCTCTTTCCAGCCTCAGGAAGAGAAGTTCCTATGGCCCCCCTCTGGACACTTGGTCCTTGCTTACAGGCTCTTTCCTTTGCTCCTCCTTCCTCTTCCTCAATGGTTCCAAATAATCTCCCTCCTGTGCTTTTAGGAAAACAACCCTGGCTCCTTTTGGAGAGATACAGCAAGAAGGGAATAAACTGTTAGTGCCACTGTCGATTGGCCCCGATACTCAAGGACTAATCAAAGCAACACAAGAGGCCAGCAATCCATCTGGCACCTGGTGGTGCTTCTGCTATGATAGTTTCTCTCTCAAGAGCCTCGTGACCCAGTGGTCCTCTTTCTCCACCCTAGGGAGATGCATAAACCGCAGACTTCTCTGCAATGGGGACAATGACTGTGGAGACCAGTCGGATGAGGTGAACTGTAAAAGAATTTATAAGAAATGCCAGCATGAAATGGAGCAATATTGGGCGGTTGACCGTCTGGCCAGTGGGTAAGCCACTGTGTTTCTGCCGTGTGGATGGAAAGGCACCAGATAAAGTGGCATTCTGGAGAACAGAGCAGGAGAGAGCTGGTCTGTTCTCTTTCTGATATAAAGGGCTGCAGTGCAAGTGGGTGCCCCTTGCTCCCCTCTGAGGACAGTTTCACATGGCTCCAGAAGCATGTCCCATACGGACCTGGGCCCCCACAGAGGGCTGGCTGTGAACGCTGGGACAGAGCTGTGCAAGGAAACCACAGAGGCTGCTCCGAGGTCCGGAAATGAATCTTTATTCCAGCACTGGTGATGTGGCGCCAGGTGCTCTGGAAGCACTTCCCCTGCAGGCCTATTGCTGACTTGTACTTAGATTGTATCTATTTCTGCCTGCCTACCGAGAGGAGAGGTTGCTAAGTGGTTAGGAGAGGGTGGGCTTCCAAGACGCATCTGTCGACAGTCTGTTTCCACCTGCTGGGGATCTCTGAGTTGATGAGATCAGAGCAGCAAGGTTAGAAGGGGCCAAATTGGCTTGATGTCCACTCTGCTTTCAGGCTATTTTCAGCAGCTTCTCAGCCTGCAGGTGGAGAAGGGAGACCCTCCCCTCACAGGCATTAAAAATCATCATTGTTGCAAACTGGACATGGTATGGCAAACCTGTAATCCCAGCACCTTGGGAGACTGACCCAAAACAATCACATGCTTGAGCCCAGCCTGAGCAACTTCGAAACTTAGAGAGACCCTGTCTCAAAATAAGAAATAAAAAAAGGGCTGGGGATGTAGCTCAGTGGGAAGGCCTTGGATTCAATCTCTGGACTGTGAAAAAAAAAATCATCATCATCATTAAGTTACATGCCTGGGAAGGAGAACAGTGACTGAATGGAATTCACCTCCTCTCTAACCAAACAGCAGATCTGAGAGAGACTCCTTCCCCAGGGGTAGAAGGGCTTTCTCAGAACTGCCTTGTAAGGAAGTTATTATGATCCCTACCTCCCAGATAGGGAAACTGAGGCCCTGGATATGTAACTGAGCTCAGGGGTCGCACAGCCAGAGAACAGTAGCAGCCACACTCATAGCCAGCAGCGGGTCCAAGTAGACCTCGGGGAGGCACTCACCCTAGAAGGAGCAGAGCAGGCTGGAGAAAAACAAAGGACTGGGGCCTACAGTGTGTGGGGAAAGCTGGGAGGCTGGCTGGGGTCAGATACCAAGGGCCCTGTGTGTGGAGCCACGGGGCTTCCACTTTCATTCAGAGAGGGCTACAGCCCGGAATCTTAACCGTTTCACCATCACTGTGTCCTCCTTACAGGATAAATTTGTTCGCCAACAGTTTGGAGGGCCCGGTTCTGGATCACAGGTACTATGCTGGTGGATGCTCTGCCCACTACATCCTGAACACGAGGTTCAGGAAGCCGTACAATGTGGAAAGCTATTCCACACAGGTAAGGCACAGCCAGGTGGGGCAGGGAGGTAACACTAGATAGGCACCTGCAGCCTCCTGCAGAGTGACTCTGGGATCATCACTCTTCTCCTCCGATATACCGTGGGTGGTCCATTCCCACAGACCTTATGCTGAGGAAGGCGTGCTCTCAGCAGTGACAGCAGTAGGCACTGTAGTAGCAGGAATGCCACCAACAATAAAATCACTGGCCGCCCTGAAGTCAGAAGTACAGCATGAGATTTGGAGTCATACAAGTCTGGGAGCTCATCCACTTGCTATCTATGCAGTCTCAAATTGCTCTCAGCTTCTGCTTCTCTATCCTTAATTTGGGAGTCATAAAGGTTCTACTTGCAGGGAGATTAGATCATTAGACTGTTCAGCATAGCTCCCGGTTTAAAGGTGAGTCCTCCTCCATACGAGCCAACTTTTCTTGTTGCCATTATTGCCAAGTACCTGCCTATCAAACCAGGCATTGTTGAAAGCGTTTCAAGCTGTAAAATGTGTCGCTGATGTCAGCCTGGGCTGTGAGTCATGCACAAATTTAGAAGTGCATCTCACAGAGTTGGGTTGAGGAGAGATTGTGTTACTGTGACACACGCACATTTGCCACCAGGTAAGAGTCCCTCCTCTACTCTAGGCTGAGTTCCTGTCCCAGTCCAGACCTCTGTTTCCTCATCTGCAAATGAGGCGGCTGGACTGGACAAGCCTGATGACAATTTCAGTTTGCAAAGTGCACTGTTCTCCAGGTTGGGATGCTACCCTCCTCTTCCTTCCCTTCTTCTTGCCCCCCTAACCCCCTACACTTATTGGCCAAGAAAAGCAAGAAAGTAGCCTTGGACCATGCACATCTTCCATCAGGCACCTACTTCACCTCCACGGCCTCCGACCTCAGAGCAACTGTACCTAGTCTAGGCTAGAACAGATCCTAACCTGGGCCCAGACTCCACCCTTCATAGCCAGCTCTTCTTGAGTGCTGCACCAGTCACTGTGTGGGGTTTTACTGTATAAGCCCAGTCCTCATAGGACAATTGCCATGTCCATCTTACTCATGGAGAAACTGAGGCTAAGTAACAGCACAAAGTCAGCCACCTCGAGAGGGGCAGCGAGACAGATGGCACCTGTCAGTCCTCACCTGCGTGGCTGCTGCTCCTGCCCTCAGCTTCGGAGGCCTTGTGCCTTCCTGAGGGACTTCCAGGCATCTGAAAGCTGATGGGAGTGGGTGGAGATGCCTCCAGTCTGGTCACTCCAGACGTCCCCCTGTGCACAAGATGATACATATGGGGTTTCAACGAGCTCTCCTCAGTTCTCTCAGATGCAACCTCCTGCTCTGCCACCGCATTCTTCCTGCCACTGCCTTTGACCAGATCCTCATCACATGTCACCTGCAGTACTCTTTACTGCCTCTCATTGGCTCGTCTGTCTCTGAACTCACCCCTGCCAATCCAGCCCTCATGCTGTTCCAGAATGATCCACCCGGGCCCAGCTGCTCCCCGGCTGGGACACTGTTGCGTAAGCCCACCCGTCAGCGGGTATTCGCCAGCCTCAGTGATCTCTCATAACCCCTCTCGACCCTCCTCACTCTTGAAACCTTCTGATTCTATCACAAAAGCACGGTTGTGCCTCCCAGAACATATCCTGCTCTTTCCGACCTCTGTAGCTGGGTGGAAGCCAAGCCCAGAATATCCCCAGCACTTCCACCGGCTGAAATCTGAGTCAAGCGCGAACCTGAGTCCCTCGGCTGTACTGAATAGGTCCATCCCCTACTGGGTCCGGAGCCATGATTCTTCTGTGACCAGAGCACCTAGTCCAGCTCCAGCACACAGTAAGAATACAGTGGATGTCTGCTGAATTGATTTGAGTCAAAGGAAGTAAAAACCATTTTCTCTTCTTTTCCTTCAGACTCAAGGCAAATATGAATTCACACTAACAGAGTATGAGTCATATGCAGATTTCGAACGCAATGTCACAGAGAAAACAACTAGCAAATCTAGCTTCAGCTTTGGTTTTAAAATACCTGAAGTATTTGAACTTGGCATCAACGAGGAAACGGATCAAGGCAGGCATTATATTAGCAGAACCAAACGATTCTCTCATACTGTAAGTAAGCTTTTGTTGCTCTTACTTTGTGTATATCCTTTTGAAACTTCACGCCCACAGATGTCTGTACTCCACATTGCTCTCAGCACTAACACTGATAACATTTCTGTTATCTTGAAAATCTTTTCATTAAAAAATAGCCTGGCTTTATATTACCTTACTTTTCATAGGGACCGAGGAAAGATGGCCTTCCACAATCATTTCTGCTGTTTTTTAATAAGCACTTTCCGTTGGTTTTCCATAAGCTGAAGGTGTCAGAACAAAGCTTTTCTGGAGATTTTTCGACTCACTACCATTTATTTGACTTCTGTCCCAGATACCTGACTGGGATGTCACCCATGACCTCTTTGACTTCTCAGAGCATTTGGTGAGCTGCACAATTGTTCTTCCCTTTCTCCTGCTTTGTTTCTGCTCCTTAGCCAACTTCCTTCTTGAGTCAATATCTGTGCCATTCTTTAATTCTTTTCTTAATTTGTGGCTATCATCTTTCCTTCTTACCCTACCATCTCCCTGGTGACTCTCTGACTTGCCTGTCCCCTTGAGGGGCCAGCCATGAGCCATCAGTGCTGCTTCTACCCTTCTGGTTGAGCTCCAGACTCGTCCCACTGGTCCTTAGGAGCACCTCACCTGGAGGCCTTGCCCACACACTGATGAGGCTTCTGCTTCTGAATTTGCAATCTATGTTAATGGTATTTTGCCCTTCTGTTTTTCTAGACGGTAGAATCATACTTGGCTCTCATTTCTGCTCCATTTCATTTTGGTCACTCAATTCTTCATTATTAGTCCTCAATTGATTTCCCTAACTCCTATTTCGCCTTAGGTAGCCTAGGCCCTTTCATTTCTTGTTCTGCCCAACCAGCTTCCCCATCTCCCCACTTGCCTTTCATGTATGTGAGCTCCTAGAGAGGTGTTTCTGTGACCCCAGTCTAATCACCCCACTGCTCCTGTTACTCAGAAGGTGAAGGACAAATGAGATCTGGTGGAAGAGGAGAAGCTGGAGAGGGAAGCTATGATGTTGGGGAGATCTGAGGAATGCTGGATTCCAGCGGGAGGCAGTGCATTTTATTCTCTGGCCATTGAGAGTTTCCAACACAGGAATGATGTCATAGAAAACTAGTGAGAGGGGCATATGAGGAGGTGAAGACTGGAAGCCTACAATGGTCCATCTGGGAAAAATGAAATGGAGAGGGGTTCAGAAAGGTCTCTGCTGCCAAAGATGGAGCCACAGGAAATGAGCAGTGGGCAGTAACTGGACAGTAACTCTTCCTCCGTCTTCTAGTCTGTGAGGTCCTTGGGGCCGAGGCTATTTTTGTTATCTTTAGACAAGAAAGGCCCTTCCTTCGTAGATGCTCAGGACTGAGTTCATGGAAGGGTAGGATGGAACGAAAGGAGCATCCGTTGTTAGGAAGGAGAACAGCGAGTGTCACGTGCTTACTCTCCCGCCTTCTCCTTCTCCCTCTCCTCACCTGTCTGGCTCTCATCCATGCTAACATAGCACTGGGTGCTGCACCAGAGACTCAAGACCTGAAGATAAGTATCCTGTGTTTCTTGATTTCCATCAAAACTTCTATTGTTTTTAAAAGTGTTCATATTTATGGAGTATAATGTAATGATTGGACACGTGAACAAGGTATAATGATCAAGTTGAAGTGATTAGCATTTTCATCTCCTTAAATGTTTATCACTCCTTTGTGTTGGGTAACTTTGAACTCCTCTCCCTAGCTTGCTATAAAATCCATTCTAAGTTGTTCTTTGCTTCATGTTCACGGTCTCGCAGGAGAGGTAAGCATGTGAGTGGATTTGCCATTCTTACTTATTAATGTCAGTTGTAACACAGCATGCTGTATGCTACAACAAAATCCTGAGTACAGAGAAGTTCAATCTTAGAAAAGGAGAGTGTGTCCGGGGACAGTATCCAGGAGGAGGCAGTGGCTAAGTAGGGATTTGAAAGGTAAGTAGAGTGTGAGCCTGGCAAAAAAGGAAAGGAAGAACATTTCAGGCAGAAGGAGGGCCGTGTACACAGTGATACCGTGAAAGGAAAAGCAGGTGTGGGAAGCAGTGGAAAGCTGCATGAACGACGATATGCAGTGTGGCTGGAGAGAACATCAAGGCCTGGGGAGGGGCACGTCAACACTATAGAAGCTGGAGCCGGGGAGGCTGGATGGAGACTGTGAAGGGCACATATTCAAAGTACAGGAGTTGGTTTATTCTGAAAGCAATAGTGAACCAGGGCAGGGCTTCAGGTCTGGGGAGGCATGATCATAATATTATCATTGTGTTGATATGTTGACTCTGGAGCTCAAGCAGGCTTGAGAAAGAAGGGAGATCAGTAGGGCAGCTCGTCTAATGATATGTCAACCTAAATAACAGTCAGCAAGAGATTTTCCAAAGATAACAATGCTTACTTGAGCATCACAGAGCACGGTGATAGGAGTGTGCCCTCCATACTAAAATATATGGGTATCCCGAGAGGTTAGGCAAGGGGAAGTGTTTAAAGGCAACAGTGAGGATTGCATAAGGTTTTTTTAAACAAAAATCCTTGGCCACGAGGACTAATAACATGGCTGGCATCAGCTCGAGGTTGAACAGACAGTTGCTAGATGAATGTCCTTGAAGGAGTACTTTTTGTGTAAAGCAGTGGTGGCCTTTGTACAAGATTATTATTCTGGCAGAGCCTTCTGATTGTTACCAGTATCAGGCAATCATACAGTAGGCTCCTTCCTTTGCAGCCTCCTAGCTTTGTTTATTTTTATTTGCTTATTTTTTGGTTAATGTTGAAGCAATTAACTCCATTTTGTTTCTGACAACTTTTACAAGCCCAAGACCCTAAGCAGTGTTCTCTGACCTTTTTTGCCACAGGACTTTGTTTCATGGAAGATAACTTTCCATGGACCTGAGGATGTGGGGAGTGATTTAGGGGTAATTCAAAGCAGCAAACAGCTTAGAACCCTAGAATGTGCAGTTCACAGTAGGGTTTTGTGCTCCTCTGAGAATCTAATTCCACTGCTGATCTGAGAGGAGGTGAAGGAACTCAGGCAGGAAATTCCAGCTATTGGAAGTGGCTATAAAAATGAAGCTTCTTTATGTAGGCTTTCCCTTGCTGTGCAGCTTGGTTCCTAATAGGCCATGGGCTGATACCAATCTGTAGCCTAGGAGTTGAGAATTTCTGACCTAAGATTTGGAAAAGTCATGCACAAAGTCCCTACTGACTGCTTAGATGGACAAGGTAGGACAGAAGGAAGAGTCGTGAGGCACTGGCGGGGCTGGAATGGTTCAAGAGAAAGCCAGGAAGCAAAGTAGGGGCCTGGGAGAAGCCCACAGATGATTGTATAGAGCCGAAGGGTTTAGAATGGGAGCAGAATGTACCTCACAGACATTTCTGCCTTCTCTTTCTCCTCTCCCTATACCCAGTGTAGGCCCTCTCTCGAGTTGTGACACCTTCTAAATTCTTGTATTTCATCAGCCATTGCTTTCAGTCTACCCCATACCTCAGGGAGACATTAAATCTTTGTTTTTAAAGACCAGATAGTAAATGTTTAAGTCTTTGCAGGGCCGTAGGGTCTCTGCTGCAGCTCCTCAACTCTGCCATTGCAGTGTGACCTTAGCAATTTACATTTGCAGACAATATAGAAATAAAGGAGCATGGCTGTGTTCTAATAAAACTTTATTTACAAAACCATGCATTGGATTTGCTGTTGCTGTGCAGGCTGCGGTTTCCTGACCCTGCCACACAGGACCATGTCGAGCCATCCTGAAGGACTACTGTTAGTCTTTCTTGAGTGGCTTTTCTTCCCAGAGTTTAAAAAACATAGGCAAACAGGTTGGGACTGCAGGCTAGCGAAGCTGGGTTCCATCACAGCAGCCCCTGCATCTCTGGCCCTCCCTGCCTGTTCTGTCTGCCCTGCACAGCACTTGCTATAGTAAAGAGGGGAATTCAAGCAAGCTTTCCTAGGCTGAAAAGGACATTGTAATATTTCCAGGAACTGGAAGCTTGTCAAAGAGACCGTCTTCCTGTAAATATCCTAAAGGAATCATAAGAGCGATGATGCTGGGCCATGAACATCGGATGATATTTGTAAAGTTCTTCTCATTCCGGATTCCTGACTTTAAAGGTCTGGTTTTCCCATGTTGGTATTTCATTTAGAAAAGCAAGTTTCTGCATGCACGCTCGGACCTTGACGTGGCACATTACAAGCTGAAGCCCAGAAGCCTCATGCTCCACTATGAGTTCCTCCAGAGAGTCAGGCAGCTGCCCCTGGAATATAGCTACGGGGAATACAGAGATCTCTTCCGGGACTTCGGCACCCACTACATCACAGAGGCTGTTCTCGGGGGTATTTATGAGTACACACTTGTGATGAACCAAGAGGCCATGGAGCGAGCAGGTAACTTCCCAAGGGACACACTTTCCTGACCAGGTGAGTCTCATCTTGCTGCTAGAGGGAAATTTAAGTCGTCCTCCTGGTTTTCCTTCTGCCTACCTGGCTGCACTTTCTCGGGTGTGTTTGCAGAGGCCTCCTTCTCCTCCTTTAACTGTCAATCTTAGCCCTCCCAGACTTACTCTCTGACTGGGCTGTTTTCTCTAACTATCTCTGTCCAGTCCCATCCCGTGCCATGCCTTTAACTGCTTTCAACACGCAGATAGCTCCTAAATTATATATCCTTCCTGGATCGCTTCCCATAGTTGATGTTAAAATGTCTCCTTGATAACTCCATGCCAAGGTCGAACAACTACCACAAACTTAACATGCCACACAAAGAGAACTTTTGGTTTTCTTTTCCAAGTAGGATTCTTCCATATCATCCACATCTCAGAAATAGTTCCACCATCCAAATAGTGGCTCAAGCCAAAAACCTAAAAATTTACCTCAATTATTTTTCTTTCCTTCCAGTCTATTAGCAAGTTCCATTAGCTTTCCTTCCAAATTATATGTTCTATTTTTAGTGTTGCCACCATACACACATCCTATGACCACTGACTCTCACTCAAAATTCAATGTGAATGTGAGTTACAGAAGAGGTAGGTTCTGATTGGGGAGGTTTGTGAAGAGCCTCGAAATGCTGCATTTCTAATAAGCTTGGATTTGATGCTGGTGCTGCTTGTCCACAGACTATAGTTTCAGAAACACCCAGATTATTACCATAGCCTTCAGGCTAATATTCAACTGCTAAGCCTTAGAATGTATCCTCTATGCAGATATCCCAGGACTGTCCTACTATCATCAATGCCAGCCTTGGGTGTGAGTTCTGCTTTCCAGGCCAGTATTCTGCCCTACTGCCCAGCACTTTTTAGGCTATATGAATCACTGAAGGTCACATGGTTTACAGGGGCACAGGTGGGGCTTTTATAGGCCCCATGCTCTTGTAAGAGGACATGGTATATAATGTAAATTTGTGCCAATGTGACCTCGGTCTTGTCATGATCAGGGGTATCTTTCTCCATAACAAGGATTTGAAAAGTGTTCCCTGTGGGTGAATCAACGAAGGGGAGGGTTGCATCTGCACTGCCCTTGCTGGGCAGACCTACAAAGAGACCGATAAAGGAATCAGGCTTTTAGAGGATGACTGAGCACTTCCCCTTCATGAAAGCAGCAAACATCCTGGGGGCAGGCTGACACTGGAAGCTGAGTTTGATCTCTACGAGGTCCTTACTCTGGTGCCCGTAGCTGTCCGCACTTCTTGACATCAGGCTGGTGACCCATTTATTTCAATCCATGTCCCTGGGACATTGGAAGAGTTAGGCCCCTAGAGTGAACCACAGGAAAGGGGACAGAGTGAATTCCCATGGAGGTCACCAACCTCTTTTCTTGCTTCCTTCAGATTATTCCCTTAATGACATCCACAACTGTGCCAAATATGATTTCCGAGTTGGTGGTGACATCCGGGGAGTCTATGTCAAACTGGGTGTGTCAGAAGACAAATGTAGGAACATTCTGAATGAAATAAAAGGTGAGAGACGGGGCCATGTGTCTTCTGTGCTAGTAGTTTCTCCTTCCATGATGCTTCTGGTCCCTGTCTTCCTTTAAGCTAAGCACTGGTCATGCCAAGCATTTCAATTAAAATAATAACCCAGCTGGTAAAAATCCACCAAACACCTACTGTGAGCTGAGTAAACAAAAATGAACCTGTTCACTTCTGGTCCTCACTGTCCCCACATGAGGTAAGTAAGCAATGGAAGAGGGAACAGCAAGGCCCTGTCCAGCTGCAACCTCAGGGAGGACTTCCTGGAGGAGAAATTATGGGAATTACAACTCGAGGACTAAAATGTCAGGATCATTTATTGGCAGGAAAAACAACCTAACAATATCATGGTGCATAGGGACTGAGTTGGCCTGGCTAGAAGTGCAGTGCTGGGGCATAAGGCAGGAGGAAGAAGGTAGGCTCCCCTGAGGAAAGGAGTGATGAAGAGACAAGCGGCAGGCAAAGCCACAGGTCAGGTAGCAAAGTCCAAAAGGCAGGAAAGGCCAGACCTGAGGTGGGGACTGAACCAGCGGAGCTACTGAGCTATGTGTCTGGGACCAGGGAACTTGGAAGCAATACAGGGAATTGGGAGTCAACCGAGCAGGCAGTGTGGGAAGGAGACTGATTGGCAGCTCTCGGCACCCCGTGGAGCTCTGTCTTTAGCCGCTCTACCTGCTGGGTTGGTGCCTGGGTTTACCTGTAAAGAGTTCCACAGCTGAAACAAAACAGTAACAAAACCACCACAGAAATTAACTGCTTCTTATGGCTTATACCTTGATGTCACTCCAGACCTCATGCCGTCATTGGTGGGGCTTTTAGGAGGTGGCTGGATCTAGGGTGTGTGATGCTGGGATCAAGGATGCGATGCTGTAATTGATTTCTGGTTCAATGCTAGGATGATGGGTGCCCCTCTCACACTGAGTGTGAATGCTACCCACCCTAAGGGGGGAAGCCCTGGATAGACCATGAGGGATAGAAAGAGGGCTACTGGGGTCACTCATCACTTGCTGCTTGCTGGTTTTGCTGCCTTGTGCCTGCCATGAATTCTTTCTCCTTTTCCATGGCCCTCTGCCATGACACCCTGCTTTGGAGCCAACCAACTATGAACTGAAACTCTACAAACTGTGAGCTAAATAAAGCTTTCCTCTTTTAACTCGGAGTGTCCTGGTATTTTGTCTCAGTAATGAGAAAAGTAACTAAGACACTGCTATTTTGTAGCAGCCTCTTGCACTTCAGGCTGGCTTGTCCATATTGTTTGTTTGCTCACTGTGGTGAGCTGAGTACATAGGAATAGGCCCTCTTTAAAGAAGACTTGTAAAGTAATTCCCCATCCAGCTCATTAAATGGAACACTGCTCAGTAACCTTCATCCATTGGTGATCACACCCTCTCCTTTTCTGAGACAACCTATAACTATCTCTGCTTCTATGTGAAATATGTCTCTTTCTGTCTTTAGAGTTTTATAACCTAGATGTATCACTCACCAATATGCCTCTCTGTTGCTCTTTTTATTAACTTTATGTGGATAGAGTGCAATCTTTTTTCTAGTCTCACATTTTTCATTCCACATCATATTTTTGCATATAACCATAGCTAGTTCACTTTCATTGCTCCATTATCTTTTATTGTACAAGTGCACCATCTTTTCTTTGTTCACTTATTGATGGTCATTGGGATTATTTCCTCTCTCAAGTAATTATAATCAATGCTCTGAAATTCTTATATCATCAAATTAGAATAGGAATGGCTTGCTTGATAAGACTGGGAGCTTTTGGGGTAACTCCATGGGAAGGTAAGCTAATAATCGCTCTGTAGGAGCCAGCACCTAGTGAGCATGTATTATACATGCACCTCATTCTCCACAAGGTGTACTCCTTTGGCCATCTCACACACAGCAGGGATCCAGCTTAGGGCCTGGGTAGGACTGCCTTCACCACTCTTGGTTTTCTTATCTGTAAAGTGAAGATTATGCTGTTCCTACTGGATACTAGGATTCAATACATCCCTGCTTATATAACATTTAGACCAATGACTGATACAAGTGATCAATAATTGCTAACTGTTATGGTTCCACTTATTCTTTACCTGGATGCAGAGATCCATTGTATAGATGAGGGGAAAAGAAATTTCACACTGTATAAGTAATTTGTCCAAGACATAAAGGTGCACACAGCCAGAACTGAGATTCAGTCTTGGGTGAGTGGGCAGGGCCATGGAGGTGAGAGGGGGAACTCAATTTCCCTCAGATGAGCTTCACCATCTCCACCTCCAGGGACCAGTGTGGTGACAGGAATGTCATTTGACCAAGGAGCAGATGCTGTCAAACTGGGCAGGCTTTGTTTACAATTTGGCTGTTTCAGTTGCTGGCTGTATGGGCCTAGACAAGTGACTTAATAATTCCAGGTGTGAGTTTCATCATTTGTCAAGTCGAGTTAATAATGCTCAGCTCATATGACTGCTGTCAGGTAAAACAAAATATTACAGCCAGACTATCAACCTACCTAGCTACCTACCTGCCTACCTTTTTACCAGTGTATTACCTGTCTTCTGTCAAATCAATCAATCTCATCTATCATCCATCCGTTTAACAATCTATTATTTATTTGCACCCCATCCCATACACTAACTCCATGACTGGCATTTGTACAAGCTCAAAATAAATGCCCTTTCCTCCTCCTGCCCCTGACGTGTAGCATTTGTGACCAGATGAGCTTTCCTTTTGCTCCATACTGCTTGACTCCCTTGCGGGCAGGAGCACATCTTGTTCTCCCATGATGGCCAAGCAACCTCAGTGAACCTCATGGCACCCAAATTGTTGGCTGAGCTGCAGAAAAGTCCAAGGTGTAAAAGTGGATCCTCTTGTACATGCCAGCTCTTTATGTCCCTTCCAGACAGGAACAAGAGGAGCACCATGGTGGAGGACTTGGCCGTCCTTGTGCGGGGAGGGGCGAGTGAGCACATCACCACCTTGGCCTATAAGGAGCTGCCGACGGCTGAACTGATGCAGGAGTGGGGAGACGCCGTGCAGTACAACCCAGCCATCGTCAAAGTAAAGGTACCAGCGCTGCACCAACTGCCCTCCATTCTGAGGGTCTGCAGTGAGCCAGGGTGTGGAGTGCAGATCAGTAAGACGGAGCCTTAATCTTGAGGCATATTCATTACAGGAGAAAATATGTCCAGAATGAACAGATTAGAACCTGGTGCTCAGTCCCACCTAGAGAGCCATCTCCTTCCCACTTGGGTCCCCAAGTTGTTAGAGGAAATTAATCAGTTTCTGATTCTAGCGTCTTCAGCTTAGTATTCTTGCCATTTTATCAGAAAATCTCTCATTCAGTCATTCATTTATTTAAATGCTCATGCATTCAACCAACAAATAGTCACTAAGTTCCTGTACAGTACATGAAGTAAGGCACTGGAATAAAGCAGAATGGTGAGATACATACAACGTAACTATCTGAAAGGAGTAGATGCCACATCACGATGATGACTAATATGTTTGGAGCACGTCCTGTATGCAGGGCTGTGGGACTATTATCACATCTAAACCTTTCAATTGTCTGCAAGTTCAGTTTCATGCCTTCCTTTTGTTACTGATACAAATCAAGGGTCAGAGAGGTTGCCTCCCTCTGCGGCTACTCAAGTCTCTGTTAGGTCTAGACAAGAGAAGTGGACTTCTGCCCTCCCCTCCAGATATTCCTGTGGGCTCAGTGGATAAAAATAAGGATCCCAACCACCTGTCACCAAAACAAGAGGAGACTTGCAATCTTAAACTAAAAAGACATTTGTTGGAACAGCACTGTCATACATATCAGCGAGATAGGTCTTTCCTGTGGGGGCTTTGGCAAGGCACCCAGAGCCTGTCTTACACCATGCTCTTCTAGCAGGTGTCTGAACAGTCACTGATGGGCCATTTTCCATCCCCTGAGAGCCCTCTTTTCAGTCATAGAGGGGGCCTGAGAGGCTGGAGCTCTGATGAGACACTGTAGTCTCCACACCTGGCAGTTTCCCACAGTCTCTTTATTTGTGTGTCAAATGTAAAGTTTCTGCAGAACAAGAGCGCTGCCATTCAACCCCTCTCCTCTGCACTTTCTCAGCAGTGACACCCAGGGCACAATTGCTGTGATGACGAGAGGGACAGAGTCAGCCACGGGATGTGGGCAGCTCCAGAGAAATCTGGGCTTGACTGATGTCCTGGTGACATTGGCTGGCATCACCGTGGAGTGTGAGAATGACCAGAGAGTTCAGGGAAAAGAGCTTCCTGGCTTTTACTTTTTACTAAACTATCTCCTCTGTATATTTTTTAAAGCTGACAATGAAGGGAAAGCCCTGGTTATTGCATGAGGTTGGGATGCCTGCCTGGGCACTGGGAATGTCAGATGCCAAGCATGGGGTGTCATCCAAGGTGACTTGGACAATCAGCAATGTTTTCCAGAGTGCTGTGGGGTGGGAAAAGCAAGAGCATTGAAGCCGAGAGTGCCTCTTTGTACCTCCCCGACCCGTGTTGGAAACATACGTTCAGGTGTCCGCTCTTCTCCGCACTTTCTGGAAAGAGAAACTGCACGAGGCTTCCCATTATCTCAGAATAATTCTCAGCAGAGCCAGCTTACCAGGGAGCTGGAGTGACAATTAATTTTCTAGCCCACTAGATAAGCAATTCCTAGATACAAGAGTGTTGGCTAATGCTTGAGTACAGTAATGAGCCTCTGAAATCAAGATCTGAGACACGATTTCTATGACCACCAAATAGTTAGTGAAGGAGACCACAGAAGAACCCAGGCTTAAAGAGGTAGCTCTTAGTTCCAAGAAGAGTTAAGAATCGGCAATGGACATATACAGAGGGTTTTTTTTTAACACAAAAGATTGAAATTATGTTCAAGATGCAGAAAATGAGCATATGTCTGTAAGGTAGAAAAATAGAAATAAAGTTTAGAATGCATTTTATTTGTGATCATAACATATTCAAGAAAATGAGGAATTTGTAAAATAAAAATAGCTGAGATGTTTAGACACTAATCAGATGAAAAGAAAGTGGCTAAATATGGGATACCAAAAGCACAGTACCAGAATTAAAACCCACATTGGAAACTATAAAGAACAGAATTGACACCGCAGAAAATTGAGTCAGTGATGTGGAAGGTGCTATAAAAAATGTTCTTATGATACAGAAACAAAAGACAAAGAGATTAAAACAATGACAGAAAAGAAATATGATGGATAGAGTACAGAAGTGGAAATCTAAAACACAAAGACTTCCTTCTGAGAAAGAGACAAGATTAAATGTGAAGACACATTAATCAAGGGCATAATAGGAGAGGCTTCTGTGAGCTGATAATGTAAAATGAGCAGCTCATTGAAAACTCAGCAAAAGTGCTGAAAACAAAACAAAACAATACTGAAACACATCGCGGTGAAATGTTTTGCTTTCAGGAACAAATATATCCTACAGGAATAAAAGTCAAACCAGTCTTAGAAGTCTACACCGTGAAATGCCTGAAGATAAAAGAGCAGCAACTGTTAGTTCTAAAGGAAAAAGCTGGCAGCCTGGCTAGATGGTCATTAATGGATGAAGAATTTCAAAGATATTTAGAAATCATGAAGGAGTCACAAAAAGTGTCACCAGTTTTAGCAAATATCCAGTTAAATTTGAATTTCAGATAAACAAGGATTAATTTTTTAGTGTAAGCATCTTGCAAATATTGCCTGGGACATACTTATTCTAAAACATTATTTGATGTTTATCTGATATTCCAGTGTAACCACATGTCTTGTATTTAACTGGTGATCTGAGGTGCGATTTCTCTCTTCCATGTGCATTTCTGTGTGTCCTTGAGGTAGCTTGACTGATGCAGAAGCAGTGTGCAGGGGAACGGGCATTGCCCAGGATAGAAGGAAAAACATGTTGATGAACGGTCCCACACAGAGGTCAGGATGCTGAGCTCATGTGCAGAGACATAACCCTCAAACCTCAGTTCAACAGCATTTACTTCTTATTTACACAAGGTGTGCAGTAAGTGTCCATGTGCTCACTCTGGGATTCTAATGGGGGGACTTTATCTTGGCATTTGCTCCCAGGATCGCCTCACCCAGAACTGAAAGCTTCCAGTGGAACTGACCCTCCCCTACTCACTTTTCACTGGTCAGAATAAGCCACATAGCACACTTGCCTTTAAGGAGAGAGCCCTTTCGTGAATAACCTTGCCTCTGAGGAGCTGCAGCCCTACTATGTGCGGGCCTGTCCTTGAGGAATTTCTGACCTACTATGTACAAGCCCGTCCCCAGGGAACTGCAGCCCTACTGTCGTGCAACCTTTCTTGAGGTGTTTCTGTCCTACTAAGTGCAAACCTATCTCTGAGGAGCGCCAGTGCTATCATGCGCAGACCTGCCCTTGAAGAGTTGTAGCCCTACTGTGTGTAAACTTGCCTCTGCAGAATTATAGCCCTTTTTGAAAGCAAGTAACTCAAAAATTTTCTAAAAGCAAATACTCCCTATCCAAGAAAAGATTAAAAATATAATGTGGTAGCACTTGCCAGGTAAAGAGTGTCAGAATTAGGCTGATAGATTTCACTTCCAAAAATAAATTCTGAATTTCAAGTAAGGACACCACCAGTATAAGTAAATGGTAGATAACATACCAAAGGAATAATTTTGCCACAAAGGTACTCCCTAGCATAGGACCGTTTATCAGAAAGAAACATTTCAAAGGAAATAGACAAGCTTCAGTTGGCTAATATACATGCAAAAATTTAAACCTCTCTAGCAATAAAAAATTAAAGGAAGAACACGTTGTGATTCTTCACTTGTCCATTTGACAGTGATTGAAATCTATAATGCCCATGGAGAGTGAGGAACTATAATGGCATGGAGCGTGAGGAAATGGGCACCTTTGTAAAGTGGGATGAGAATATGATGTAGTGCGACTCTTTAGGGAAAAGATGGATAGAAGCACATATCTCCAGAATATTTTAAATACCTCATTTTTGATTCAATAACACCAAATTCAAGGGTCTGCTAAAGAACTAATTTGAAAACTTGGGAAAGATGTATATATAAAGATGTTTTGGAAAAGAACAAAAGGAAATATCTTAAAGGCTCAAGGGCAGAAAAGCTGAGTCCACCATGGGGCCCCCAAATGGCAGGCTACCCAGAGGTCACAGAAAGCCGTTTCCCCCAAATGTACTGAACGGTAGGGCAAAACACTCATGATGAGTGCAAAGAGTGTGTTATAAAATCCCATGATGCACCAATCTGGTGTAAATATCTGTCCGTACACCTATCTAAAAATACCTCCTGAAAGGAAAGAAATCCAACAGGAGCAGTCCAGACCTTTTCCTGCCACTTACTGATAGGTGAACTTCGTCAGATTTCAGCTTCCTGTGCCTCAGACTTTTCCTCAGAACAGTGTGGAAACAGATGACTGCCCACCTCCCAAGACTGCAGTGAAGGTGAAATGCTGAGTGTCAGCTGGAAAGTGCAGCACCCCATAAATGCTAGCTACGGTGACAATTATTTCTCATCACTAAGAGCACCATGTCCCACTGTGGAAAACTGCCTGGCGTTTAACAGAGACTGTCCAGCAGTGCCTTGAGCAATGTGATAAGCATAACCTTGAAAGGAGAAGGGCTGCTAGGGACCCAGAGACCAGCGAATTTGGCATTGAGTATTTGGGGAAAAGACGCAGTAGAAAGAGGAAGAGGCCTGGAGAGAAAAGGAAAAAGAAGGGAAGAAAAGAGGGGGAAAGGCTAGAAAAAAAAGAATAGCAAACCAAAAAGACACCTGTGCCATATTAGCTCAGGTTAAAAGGGAAGCTGTGAAGTCCAGGAGTGTGGGTGCTAAATTCCAAGAGAAAACACCACCATCAGCAAAACTGGGAGATGTCTGGGATCCAGTCTGGCAGTGGGAATGATCATGCTGTTTTTATCAATACAGCAGTCATTAGGGGCCAGGGATTTAGCTCAGTGGTTCTGCTGCCTGCCTCCCATGCACAAGGTCCTGCATTCGATCCCCAGTACCTGAAAAAATTAAAAAAAAAAAAAAAGAAAAGAAATATAACACAGTAGTCATTGTGAACTAGTAGGAAAACACTGGCCTTGGATTAGAATCTTGGCCACACCATTGTATGAGTTTGTGACCTTGGTCAAGTTACTTCTACTCTCCAGAAAATGGGGCCAATAATTGCTACCTTATGAGTGTAAAGTAGATCCTATTAGGAAGCCCATGAAGCTCCTGGAGTGTGCTTTATGTAGAGAGCTTGTTCCAGTTTGGCTAATGTCACCCTGTCTCCTGGGTCAGTCTCCATGCTGGTAGGTGAAGGGCAAGGTGGTTAAGGGCAGCATGTCAAGGTGCCACCAAAGTAGTTATTGGAAGAGCTCTGCGTTGGAGTAAAGGGAGCTGCCCCTCCCCCCATGGCAGCCCCCTCCCTGTGTGCGGCCAGCAGGCTGGGCAGTTCTGCAAACAGCCCTTGGATCAATTCATTGACCACAAGCCCGTGAGACAATGGGACCACCAAGGGGCTTGCTTTGCCCACAGGTGCGAAGGTCAGCATCAGATGCATTAAGAAATGGAAGCAATTTTCTTCCCACTGGAGGCATCTATTAGACATGATTGCCTGCATTTAGAGGGACCCTAAACTCTCCAGGGCTGGATTAGGGCAGAATCATAACCAAAATCTGGAGAGGAACCTAGCCCTGGAGCTGACACTGGAGCCAAGAGAGGCAGCTCATGTTTAACGACCTCTCTGGACCTGGTCTCTGGCTTTGCTCACCACAGCACCACATCCCTGTCACACGCTGCCACCTCCACAGAGGGATGGCACCGCACTTTCTACTTCTCTGCCTCTGCTCCTGCAGCTGGTATTGGTCTATGAAGGCCTCTGCCCCCTGGCATTTGTCCCCAGTGTTTAATGGAGGGAAGGTGCTGGGGAGCTTTGGTGCTCAGGAAAGGGTTCCTGATAGTGGCTTTTTCATGCCGGAACGATTCTGAAAGGTTTGCAGGGAGAGTGGTATTGGGACAGTAATCCTAAAGTACATTTAAAGAGCTGCTGGACACCCCCCCACACATCCTCCCCTTCCCTCTCTCCTGCTCCGTTCTCCAAGCTCACAAGTTTGGTCATCACCAGTGTGTTGCTCCTCGGCATACTATGGGATTACATCTAGATAAACCCATTGTAAGTTGAATATATCACAAATTGAGGATGCATCTGGTACAGCGGAACATCCTACCTGGAATTCTGGAGTGTCAGAGGCTCCTGGTGACAGTGGCCACGTAGGAGCTGGGCTCAGGCCCTATCACTGCTGCCCAGCACTGCACGAGAGAATCATGCCCCTGAACACTAGTCCAGGAAACTGTCAAAATGCTACTGAATGCTGTTCACTCTGTGCACCCTCACAGAGTGGAAAAAAACCTAAGTCAAATATGATCTGTGATCATCTGTCAAGTGTTGATCTCTATCTCTAGATTCTGAGTTTCTCAAAGTAGGGGTTTTAGTTGGCATCCACGTTTAATGCCTAGCACTTAGTAGGTGTTTGGTGTTTGTGGACCTGAACTGGAATGAGCTGATTTGTGCTTATTGGCTGGGGGAGCATAGCATCCTTCCTGTTCCCAAGGAATCACCTCTGGTTTCCACGCCCCGAACCCCTCACCACGGGGTGGCCTGGCTTCAGCTCTCATTTCATGAGTGTTTTCTCTCAAACTCAATGCTCTTCCTCCCTCTCCAGGTGGAGCCTCTTTATGAACTGGTGACAGCCACAGATTTCGCCTACTCCAGCACAGTGAGACAGCACATGAAGCAGGCCCTGGAGGAGTTCCAGAGCGAAGTCAGCTCCTGCCACTGCACCCCCTGCCATGGCAACGGAGTCCCTGTCCTGAAAGGTACCATTTCCAGGCTGCTAGGTCCCTGTGGAAGCTGTTATCTGGAGGAGGCTGACTCTGTTTCCCAAGAAGGCAGGATGGAGGCAGCTAGGGGACGCTCTCTGGCTGTCACGATGCCTGGGTTCCAGGCTCAGGGGCTCATTGGATGACAGCAGCAGTTAGTTGATGTCTGAATCCACCTGAGAGTGTGTGGTGGTCACAGACTCTGAGCCTGACCAATAGGAAGTGAAGGCAGCAGCAAGCATCAGCCAATAGAAATTGTGCGCTAACTTCAAGGGTCACGGGTGGAGTCACTGCAGAAGGTGGGGCAAATTGAAAGGGGTGGCGGATGGGGACCCCTTGAGCCTGCTGTGATGGACCAGCAAGGCGCTGAGGAGGGTCCAGCCCAGCACCCCAGGACATCAGGAGCCTCTGATCATAGCCAGTTGCAGCCCATGTGGACATAGAGAGCCAGCAAAGTCAACCAAAGATCTGTTCTCAGGGAGAAAGTTTCCAGGGAGAAAGAGTCTCAGCAAGGCGCTGAGGAATTTACTTCTGGTTTCTCATGCTGGATGGATATGAGCAAAACAGACATGGTGGAGATAAGGTCTAAAGTTCCCCATCAGCCCAAGGCCCCTATTCGAGGGTCAGTGGTGCAGAAGTGGGGTCACCTTCTCAGCTCCCGGTTTGGGTCCAGGATGGCTGAAGTCCCCTCTGCCTTGTGTGGGAATCTGGAGCTGGAAGCTGGAGCCCACCTGCAGCTGTAAATGGAGGTGCAGGAGAACATGAAGCCAAGGTCTGACCAATGAAGGACAGCTCTGTAAAGAGATTCTGTGTGATCAGATGACAGGGCTCCAGGGTGACAAATTACCTATTAACACAGGAGTCACTTTCAAATTCTTAGAACCAGCCAAAGTTAGGGCTGAAGAGCGGTGCATTCCTCATCCCTAAGGTCTCCATGCAGTGGCAAGACAATGGCTTAGAGTAGAACATCGTGATGATTGGCTTCAATGAGGCTACCATAGCTTCTGACCCTGAAAGCTTATCAATATGGGTTGAATGTCAGCTAATAAGTAATCTTCCTCAGCAAGTCCTTGTATTTCCCCATGATGGAAATAGACACCCTTTAATGAGCAAAGGCCCCTCAAGAAAAGGGTAGGTATTTTGGGCACTAAACCTACTCTTTGCAAACCTTTCCACTCAGTGTTTTGCCCTGAGGTCGCCTAATAGAATCACCCTCATGCAGGGAGCTGAGCCCCAGGACCTTCGATTCCCAGGGTGTGGTTCACAGTCTCTCTTGGTCTTTTAGGATCCCGCTGTGACTGCATCTGCCCCCTTGGTTTCCAAGGCCCAGCCTGTGAGATCACCAACCGGAAAAGTAAGGATCCTTTTGAGGGTTGTTCAGAAATGGGAACTCGGGGGAAGTCCAGAGAATAAGTCAAAGGAACAAGACCAAGGTGGGGGCTGGAGTAGGGCGCTGGACACCAGGAAGCTGGAGATCCAGCCTGGCTTCCAGTGCGGTGCTGCTTTATTTCACACACCTCTGGTCACAGAACTGCCAGTGCATGGTAGTCCCAAGTCCTTTTCAGGTCATTCTGAGATACTTAAATTGTTTCTACTTAGTGAGCACATCCTCAGCCCTCAAAATCCAGCACTGATGACCATCCTCTGTCAAAATCCCTTTAAGCTCCCAAGTGCAATTAATTCATTCCTCCTGCAGGTGCCCATAGACCTTGAACATACATTTATCACCCTTCTCAGTGCAGCGCATTTGTGGGGGGTGGAGAGAAGCCCGTCTCCTCTGTCTCTGTGCGTAGGGATCAAGTCCCATTGGACTCTGTCCCCCGTTGGTTGATACACATGGAATTAACAAAATGAAAACCTACACTAAAGTTCCCTTCCAGCTCCAAAATTCTTTGGCCAGTTTATTATCTAAGAGCTCTCAACATCTTCTTCCTTTCTCCCTTTTATTTCACTCTGTGACATTTTGATGATCCTCTTAAAAATAGATGTGGAACATTCAATAAAAATGAAAAAACATTTATTGGACACTTCTTTTTTTGGTATCGGAAATCAAGCTCAGGGCCTCAAACCTGCCAGGTAGGTGCCTCACTGCTGAGCTACATCCCTGGACAATTACACACTTTTTTATACAGAGGCAGTTGCTGAGTACCCAGACTCAATTTGGGTTTGAATTTCATCTCCATTATTTAGTAACTGTGATCTTTAGCAAGAGATTTATCCCTTTGTGCCTTTATTTGTGCATCTATAAAATGGACATGATCAATTAACTACCTTATGGAATTGGCTCCAGTTTGTAAAGAGGCATAGAAAGCAGAAATCCCCAACCTTTCGGGCAACAGGGAACCATCTTGGTGGAAGACAATTCTTCTGCAGGTAGGGGTGGGATGGTGGTTTGGGGACTAGGTTCTCATAAGAGGTGCACAACCTAGACCCCTCACTTGTGCAGTGCACAGTAGGGCTCATACTCCTGTGAGAATCCAAGGCCTCCACTGATCCAACAGGAGGCAGGGCTCAGGCAATAAAGCCAGTGATAGGGAGTGACCAAGCTAGACACATGACCTATCGTGATTGAAGTAATCAATTACTCATAGTCTCATCAGCATTCAAAACACCCTCAAGTAGGGGCAAGGGGAGTAGCTCAGTGGTAGAGCCCTTGCATTGTATATCTGAATCCCAGCACTGCACAGAAGTCCTCAAGTGGAAGGTAAATGTCAAGGAGTAGAGAGAGCACCAGTGCCCACCATCACCACATTTAAAACTCATCACTTTTTGTATTACTACTGTGAATATATCACTCATAGATTAAGTTAATTAATTAATTCTCACAAAAACCCATTACATTCACAGCAGATAGTATAGTTCCCATTTTTATATATAGTGAAAAAAACTACTCAGCATCCCCTTGCTGGCAGCCATTCATCCATTCATTTAACCAATGCTTGCTGAGAGCCTTCTCTGTGCTCATCTGGGTACCTGGGTACCGAGGCTCAGTGTGACAAATCCGATCCAGTCTCTATTGTCACAGAGACTGCACTATGGAAGGGAAGAGCAATGTCAACAGAGTCATCCTATCAAGGCACTTAAAGTTTCTAATGTAACAATTGCTACAAAGTGCTCTGAGTTTAAAATATGGGAATCTGATGGAGAATTAGGGGTCATGAATGGTTTCCCTAAAGAAATGTGCTTTTGCTGATACGGGAAGGGAGAATAGGATGGACTGGGTCAGCAGAGGGGGAAAGAATGTCCCCGGCAAGGAGAGCAGCATGTGCACAGGCCCTGTGGGAAGAGAGGACATGGTCATAAAGAAAAACATTTGATTGGAGAGGTGAGATCAGTGATTCAGGCTCCCAAAGCCCTTTGCCTTACCCATTCTGCCACCACACCTAGAGCACCAGATTATAATAATGGCTAAGTAATGCATGTTGTCCTCTTTTCTTATAGATATCCCCACTGATGGGAATTGGAATTGCTGGTCCACCTGGTCTTCATGCTCCAGAGGACTGAAAATAAGACAAAGACAGTGCAACAATCCAGTTCCGCACAATGGGGGCAGCACCTGCTCTGGCCCTGCATCAGAAATGGTCAGCTGTTAGAGGAGAGAGTGCTTCTGGCAGATGACACCACTATGCGCTGCAGACAGCATGGGCCTGGGGATCCCTGGGCCTCGGCCCACCCCACCCCACTCCAGCTCCCACTGCAGCCAGCCCAAGGTAGAGGGCAGGGCCATTCAGGCCTTTAGTTTATAAAGTGCATGATGATTTGAATAAATAGTCCGTTTAAAATGTTGATGTTCCCTAAGAGGACCTTATAAAACTCACGTTGCCCACTCTATACTTTTATTTCACTCTCATTTACTACTGGCCAAGAACTGTGCTGGGGTTGTTCAACAGGTAGTCCCACCATCTAGGAGCAATGACTCCAGTACAGTAGGTGCCTAATAATGAAGCAACAAATGGATATGAAGTTGTTCTTTCTTTGATGAGTGCAGGGTCAGGTCCAGCGATTATGGCAGCTCGCGTTTCGTGGAGATCGTTATGTGCCAGCCGCTGATTCACTGTCTTGGTTCATTCATGGCCACCTCCCAAGACAAATGCTCTTTCTTATTATCCCTACTAAAGAGCTGGGGAAACTGAGGCTTAGAACAGTTCAGAGACTTGTCCAAGGCTACACAGAAGGTGGGCAAGCTGGGCTGCACATTTGGGCTCTAGAGGTTTAAACTCGTAGCTTTGATGGTCCCCTGCCTTTCGGTGAATCAGCATCTGGATAATAAAGGATTTTTCACAAAATAAAAAGCAAAAGAAAGCACCGTGTGTGTGTACATGCGTGCATGTCTGTGTGTGTGGATAGTCTCCACTGCTGCTGCCAGAGGAAGGTTGGTCTCTGTCCCTCAGCTCCCCAGGTGCTGCCAGAGGCCTGGTGGAACAGCACACACACACACACACACACACACACACACACACACACACTGGAGGCAGAATTACGACTCTCCCTGTGGAGGCTGCTGATCAGGTGTTAATATTAAACAATAGGAAAGAAGAGTTTGTATCACTCGCCTCAGCCATGACCTCCAAAGAGTTAAAGGAACAGCAGGGGTGGAGCCAGGGCAAGAACTGAGCTGGATCCCAGCGTCAGGGAAAGTTAAGGGGATAAAGGGATAAAGGGAAGGCTGAGGTGGCTGCTACAGAAGCACATCAAGGGGCATTTGATGGCTGTGGGGTGGATTCATGGTGCCTTCCCTTCCCCTGTCCAGGAGCTGATCTGTGCTTTCTACTCTGCTCACTTTGTGCAAACACTATTTGGGGAGGAGAGTGCTTGAATAAGACAATTGCTCTCCATGTTACCAAACACCAAAATATGTTTGTTTTTTAGATTGACAAGCGAGTATCTATGCTCTATTTCTCTCATTCATTTTATCCCATTAAGTCCTCCCTTAAGATTTTCTTTGCTCTTAGTTACTTCCTGTCTGATTGAAAAACCGTAGGTGAATTTGCTAGAAAGGGATGGCGGGTGGGTACAGCTAGTTAAGGGTGAATTTGGCTCATCCTATTTCCCTTCCTCCAATTTGTTGTCACCCAAGGCGTCTGCTTTGGGTCGGCTGCCAGATTTGTTTGCTGGGTCTGAGACCTCAGGATATCCACAGCACTGAAGCTTGGCCCCTGCCACCCACTGGTGTGGCCTGAACAGCTCTCTGGAATGAAATTAATAGAACAAGGAGCTTCCCAGGGGTTGTCACAGCAAGTGAGGTGATTCTGTCTGCCTTCCTGCATCCCTGGGTCCCCTGAATAGAGCTGACGGGCCTGGGCCCTTGTTTGGTTTAATATTATTGCTTTGCTGTCTACTGTTCTTTCAACAGGCTAATCCAATAATGTTTTATCTCTTTCATTATACTGAGGCCGTATAATTTTCTTGAGTTATAATCTATCTTCTTTTAAGATTCCTCAGAGACAGGGAAGAGCAGCTCTGTCTTGGTTGACTCAAGGCATGCTCGAAGCTGACACTAGCACAGCAAAGCGAGGGCTGCCAAATTAAATTTCAAATCTCAATCACAGCCACCACTTCTAATGGGAAATTTGAGTTGATTATGGAGACGACAGCCCAGGTTCACATTTATTGCATTGAGTAGAAATTGTTTATCCTATTAAATATGGTCTTGAAGGAGAGACAATTGAATTGCAGAGCACCGGTGAATACCCGGGTGACGCCCAGGCACTGCTAAACTGGGTAATAATTATATTCTTATTTGTGGGCTGAACTTCCCCACGTGGCTCTTTCTGCAAACAAATGCATTTAGGAGAAGGCTGAAACATAATGTAGGAATTAAGCAAAATCAATGCAAACTGTGCTTTTGGAGAATATTGGCAACAGTGTACCTGGACAGCAGCCACTGCATCCGAGGGCCGGGCACAGGCAGGGCCCTTGGAAGCTTGAACACAACACAAGACGCTTAGGCGCGGGGGAGCTTTGCATCCAAGAGCATGAGCTTTTGAAAAGCTGTGAGCTCCCCTGCATACTTCATGTCAGGGTGGGAGGTTTCCCATGTGGCCTTGGACTGATAAGGCAACTTCTATGGGAATAAAAACTATCGTAATTACTTTAACAATAGTAATAATAATAGCTGCCAATTGCAAACTGCTTCTGTGTTTAGGAAGTCCTTTAGCCTACGTTATCTCATTTAATTTGTATCTGAACTGGATGGGGAGGGTAGTAAGGCAATCATCAGGTGATAGAGACAGCTTCAAAAGGAAAGGCATCCTTAGTAAGAATGGCCCAAGGACAGCTGGCAACCAAGGTGCACTGTCGAGGCCAGGAGGAAACGCTCTGGCTGGCAGAGAATCCAGCTGGAGGGAAGAGCCCTGCTCTGGTGTAGGAGACTCCAGGAGCCTGTGAGGGGTGGAGCTATTCTCTCTGGGGCCTCCATGCTTGGCTCTCGCCCCCACACATGCCATGCTTCTCCACATGATAAAGGCACTGGCCTAGCGAGGTAATGTTGAGAGGTGGTGGAGTCCTTTAGGAGGCAGTGTCCAGAGGGGGTCTTAGGTCACTGATGGTGTTCCCTCAAAGGGGACGGTGGGCCCTTGTCTCTTCCTTTCTTTCTTTCCTCCCCAGCCAGCATGAGTGAGCAGCTGTCCTCCACCACTCACTCCCTGCCATGATGCACTGCCTCACTGCAAGCCTTAAGCCATGGGGCCAAGAGACCATGTACTGAGGCCTCTGAAACCGTGAGCCAAGATAAACCTTCCTTCTTTTTAGCTAGACTATCTCAGGTATTTTGTTGCAGTAATGGGAAAAAATGAACACAGAACAGATATTTTTTCTTTCTGTTCCCATTTCACCTTGTACCTCTGTCATCACGGCATGCATTCCAGTGCAGAGTATTCTTGGAGGTAGAACAGATAGACTTTTTTCACAGATTGAAGATGTCCTTAGTGACATTCTGTCTGACACTCTATCTGTTCACCAGTGTTTCTGGATAATGCAGACATTGTATTACAACTTATTCCTTATTATCTCTTACTCCTTCTCAAGTATAATGCCCATGCCGGCAAGGACTGTGCGCTAACATGGCCCTAATTGACCATCAGTAGGTAATTGTGGCAGGAATGAAGGAACTAATAAAGAAGGATGGTGGGGTCAAGGGAAGAGGCTTCACAGCCTGGTGAAAACCTTCAGTGACTTGGTGACACATGGAGGTGGCATCGTGAGACTCGAACACACTGCAGCCCGGAAGACAGAAGTGACCTATGCAGCAGTGAAGGGGAAGCTGCTTTCCCTGGCTTGTGGGCAGCAGTGCCAAAGAGGAGCAAAATAAAAGACAGTAAGTACAGTGGACAGGAAGGGACTGATGGTGCCTGTCTAAGGGCTGCGGTGGTGACACCACTTGGGAACACCTGGAAATCCCCAGGGAAACTACACAAGAAAGGGGAGCCGGAAATGCTGTCATCATCGGTCAGGTAAACCTGAGAAGCATATTCAGCAAGGCCCAAGAAATTGTGGACAGCCTACCGGGTCCGTGACAGAGACAGGAAAGAGCAACTTTAAAACTTTCTTCTTCCAGTGTTCCGCCTCAATCCCTGTTTCTTGTCTCTAGATTGGTTTTGAAGCTGGAACCTAACAGCAACACGTGGAATGAGGCATGGCAGGTCTTTGGGGTTCCCTGTTTATTGATCATTTTCATGAAATCTTAGTTTCCTACACAGTGGCTTTCTTTTTGTGTTACTTTCCTCAGTGTTGGGCCAGGTTCAGACTGGGAGGCACTGAGATGCTTCCAGGTCTGCAAAGGGGGTGGTAGGAATGATGTCACAGCTTCTAAGGTCCAAATAGAGACAGAGTGAAAGAAGGCTGGGCAGCAAGGCACTGCGCATGTGTGCTCTGGAGCTTGGGCCTGCTCTGTGGCTTACAGCTTTGTGTCCAGGCTCCGTACTGTGCCTCTGCAGCCTCACCTGTGAGATGGGCCTGATGGGAACTGTAGCCCCCTGGGGCTTGGCAAGCACCACATGGATGGCTGCATGTGGGAGAGCACCCTGGGCCCGACAACCCTCCTCAATTAACTGCATCATTGCTGCTATCATTTCCAGGGATTCTCACAATCTCGACAAGAACCTCAAGATTTGGGGCTTTTTTATAAGGTCATTTAAAACTGCTTTAAAGATATTTCAGTGCAAAACTCACGATATATGAGAAAAAAAAGCCATAAAATGGCTCAGCTGCTAGGAGATATCTTAATAAAGAACAAGGAGGGTTTTTCTAGCCCAAGCTCTGGGTTATTAAGGGAAAATGTAACAGCATAATAACTAATATTTGCAGAGAGCATTACTAGTTACAAAGAACTTTCACATATCTAATCCAGCTTAATCCTCCCAGTGCCTACCAGGGGAAGGATTCAGTATCTGTCTCTGACAGGTGGTGAGACACAGCCAGGGAGAGGCAGTCATTTGCCCAAGACCACATGGCTTGGAAGTGGCTGAGTGCAGTCCAAGGGCAGGCACTGCTGCCACCAAGCTCCCATCTCCCGCCATGGCCAAAGCACATCCAGGTGCCCAGCCGCCTGCACAGAGGACATGTGGGAGAAGCTGCATGGGTCTGGAGGGCTCTGAGGCAGACGAGGGATATGAGCCCTGCCATTGTTTCCAGCAGTGTGACTTTCATCAGGTCACTGGGCCTCTCTGTGTCTCGGAGTCCTCATTGGAGAGCACAGGTGAGGATGGGGTGACCTGACACCCCCCAAAGTGCCGGGCACATGGTGGAAGCTCAGCTGCCTTTCCTTTCTTGGGTCCTGAACGATCAACCCTGCCTACCTCCTGCCTCCTTCTCCCTGTCTAGCGTCTGATTCCTTGTGCTCAGAGGTGTGTTTCACAGAGAGGAAAGGAGGAGAGACTGCAGGCGCATTTGCAATGAGGAATTCTCGGCCGCCTGTCACAGGGAGTCAAGTGGCTTCTCTGACCTTCCCCTCCGTGCAGGGCCCAGGACGGAGCTGGCTCCCCCTTCATGGCCACTGGCTGCACTCCTGGTTATCTCACCCGCACACCTGGCAGCCCCAGGTGTCCGTTCATCCATCATTGGCCATTGTCCGGCACTCACTCCTCCCTCCCCCACGGCCTCCTCCGCCAGATGACTCCTTGTGAATAAGCCAGTTTTCTCACACCCCGAAAACTATCTGATTCTAGCCCCTTTTATCCCAAACACCAACCATCCATCAACGGCGTGCCGCACATGCTTGGTTAGGAAATTGGGAATGGGGGAGGAGGCAAATAATAGATAAAACTTCTTAGCTGCTATCTCTGAAGAAATAGAATGGATAAATAGATCTGTCAGACATGTATCATGCCACTGGACAGCAAAGTCTATTTGTTCAAAACAGGTTAGGATGGGAGGATTTATCTCCCATTTTAAGCTGTTAATATAGAAGGGAAACGTATTTTTCTTTATCTCTCCCTGGGGAAGGAGGAAATCCCAAGACCATGAATGAGGAATTTTGAATGTGATTGGATGGACTTCCCTTCACTAAGGTGGAAATGGTGAGATCCCTCTTGAATCTTTGCAGCCTCCGGGAATGGTGTGAGCTCAGCTATGCTCTGCTGCAGCTGGGAGGCTGCTGGATCTGGAAGTCCATGAGCTTCTCTCTCACAGCTTCCTGCCTGCCAGACACAAAGGCCACTCTAGGCTTGGCCTCTGCCACCAGGTGAGGATGAGGATGCTGGACAGGGTCGAGGGAGCATGAACAGAATGGCGTCCTGCAGGACAAGTCATATGTGCCTGGTGCTGTGCTGGGTACTGGGGCTCCAGAGGTAAATAGGAGGCCCCTTCTGCCCTGCCAGAGCCCCTGGGTGGGGAGACCCATGAAATGGACAAAGCACGGGAATGTTTGGGAACAGAGAACTGTGTGGGTGTGCAGCTTCCAGCTGGGTTGGGTTCCTGGGTGGAGGGGCCCCTACCCTGGGCCCTGAAGGGCACCGTGAGGAGCTGGAGAAGGTGGGACCGGGGGCAGGGAGGGCTTCAGGGAACAGCATGTGCAAAGGCCTGGAGGGGACAGGGGTCCTGGCTGTGTGGGGCTGTACTGGAAAGGGTTCTTGCGTTCTACGTGTATTGACTGAGCCCCAGGCGGAGGCCAAGAACTCCTCCAGATACTGGGGACCTAACCATGAGCAGACCTGCTACTAACAGAGGGGCACACTGGTTACTCGGGTTGCTAAGCAACACCACCCCTGTCTGGGGTTATGCGGTGAACATTCCTTCCCCACACTTCTGGGGGCCGCGAAGACAGCCGGAAGTGCTGGCTGATCCGGACTCCGCTGAGGTCACGCTTCCTATCCTGCGTGCGGTGGTGGTCATGTCGTGTCCTCCCACGGCAGCGGCAGTGAGGGAGCGAATTCTCTCCTGCCTCTTCTCATATGGGTCCACCGTGCCTTAATTGCTCCCAGTGGCCACACCTGCTAGCACCAGCCCATCACGGTTAGGATGTCACAGAGGGATTTGGAAGGACACAAACATACAGTCCATAGCATATGCTAAGAACAAAAAAGAATGACAGATCTGTAATCGCAGGCAGTGGTAAGTTTTGCACAAGAGAAATAAATGAGGGGAAGTGTGAGCCCCTTTCCAAAGGGCAGGCAAGGAAAGTCTTTGGACAATTTGGAATTGCCTGAGGACATGACCCTTGGGAGAGCTCCTGGAGGGCTGAGCATTCTAAGCAGTGGGGAGAGTAGGTGTAAAGGTCCTGGGGCACGGTAGGCTATCCATGTGTGAGGAATAGCCAGGTGGCCTGTGTGGAAAGGACAGTGTTGCCAGAAAGGCCCAGTGACAAAAGCTGAGGTCTAGACTCAGCCATCCCCAGCCTGACAGGGACCAGTACTGGTCCTCAAGGTACTGGGCAGAACACCCCTGACCTCCAGCATGAGTTCCAGCTGTGTGATTTTGCAGGAGTCACATCACCTACATGATTGTGTTCTGCCCCTGGCTTGTGATGTGTTTCTCACTGCCTCAGTTTCTCCACTCTGCTGGCCACTCCATCCTCCGGGCTGCTGACCTAGTCCCCTAGCCAGAATGTCTCCCACAGCCACTGGGATTCCTTCTAGTCCGGGACCTACAGCATTGCTCGTAGATCTCCTCTGCCGGCCTCCGTATTCTCCCACAGCTGGGGGTGGTGTCTTCTGAGCCCCCAGCACCCCTCCAGGGGGCTGGCACCAGAGGCCACCAGCAAGTAGGATGCCCAGTCCTGACGCAGAGGGCCAAGGTGAGCACCGTCCTCCCAGGGGGAAGTGCCGTTTTGCTGACCTGCGCCACACCCCTCCCTCTCAGAGTGCCACAGCTTTGCGATCACTCCTTCCTGCCGCCTGGCTTTTGCAGCCTGCCCCTTCTCTGTCCATTTCCTCCCCCGAAGGCACGCTATTCGGAAGAGATTTACTGAGTGTTGAACTCTTTAGATCTTCCCCTCTCAAAGAAGAGAAAAAGAAAGCTTCTGCCTAGTGCCTTTCTCTCTGTCATTAATTTACTTTTCAAAAGACACCTTGCGGAGCTGAAGATTAGATCTTTAAACCATGTGTTTACACCCATTCCCTATAAAACTTGAGATTGCAGATCTCCTTAGGGCACTGAAGGGAGGACATGTGGAGTGAGTTTTATGCTTTTTGCTTTGTGGAAGCAAATCATTCTTGAAGAAGGAAAGGTGCTGCTCTGGTAAAGGGTGCTACTTTTGAAATTGCCACTGCTGCTATATTTTATTCTGAAATTGCCAGGGATGTAGCATCCTCAAAGGAGTGGAGCACCGGCTGGCCTTTGCTCTCTAGCTAGAGGACTGCCAGGTGGCATCTGTCTTAGTCATTTTTCTCATTGTGGGACAAAAATACCAGACACCGGCAGTTTCGAGGAGAAGAGGTTTATTTTGGCTCATGGTTTCAGATGTTTCAGTCCATAGTCAGCTGGTTCGAACACAGAAATGCATGGTGGAAGGGCCCATTATGGAGGAAAGCTGCCCATCATGGTGGCCAGGAAGCAGAGAGAAGGGAAGCACCAGGGAGGGAGATAGATCCTTGCAGGTCTTGCCCCAGTGACTCGCCTCTTCTGACCAGGCCCCACCTTTGCAGCTGTAGTGCTCCCCTTATCCAGCATGAGAGTGTGGGGGTCATTCTTGATCTAAACCAGAGCAGCAGCGCTCTGCTGTTGGTTTTAGTTCACAGCTGATCCAGGTAGCTGCTTAAACCTTCTCCTTTCTCCCCCAAATTGCTGTGCTGGCCCCCTACAGGCCTCCTGGCCTCCCATCCTCCCCATTGTCTGTGCACCACAAGCTGCACTTCAGATCCCCCCATGAGCAGGGGGACCACCCGGAACAGAGGGTACTTGGTGTTGGGGGATGCACGAGCTTGCAGTGGTGCTTTCCATCCCTGGCCTGCCAGCTGTGTGATCCTTGAGACTCAATCTTGCTGAGACTCAGTTTCCCTCAAAACTGAAGGTCTCACAAAGCAAACCTCGGGAGGCCCTTGACAAGACTAGGTGAAGTGGCACAGAAGGACCTCTGCATTCCTGTCCTGCTTGTCACACACTCCACTCCCCACCAACTGTAATGACTCCTCCTCTCTCAGGACCTCTCAGCCTTGACTGCTCTTGGAGTTGCCCGGGGAGCTTTTAAAACTACTGGTGTCTGGCTCCCAGTGGTTCTGATTTAAGTGGTCCAAGGTGCAGCTTCCAGGTACCAGGGCTTATAAAGCTCCCCGGGTGCTCCTAATGTGCGTCCATGGCTGAAAACTACTGTTTTTAGATCAGGACTGAAAGTCCTCTGCCCAGTGCCTGCTTGCCCCAGCCATTTGGCCTTTGGTCACTTTGTAGCATGTAAATAATGGATGTACATTATTCATAGAAATTAACTTTAAAAGTAAAAACTACTCTTTCAAAGAGAAGATCTAAGTTCATTTAGAAATAAGCTTCTAAGCCATATGCTTTAATTTATAATGGTAATAATAATGGTGACACTAAAATTGTATTATGTAACAGGCACTGTGCTGAGTGTTTTGCGTGCCTCATGTTATTTGCTTTCCCTACCTTCCCATTCCCATTTACACACCCATGTCCCCCTATATTCTTTCTCACCTTCAAACTGTCTCATGATGGATTTCTATATATCACAAACACCCCCCTCCTGTTCACTTAGTTGAAACCCGCCCCGCAGTCTGAGTCTGAGTCTATCCCATGATGTCCATGATACACAAACTTCGGGGAAGATGGGTCTCAATTTCACCTGCTCCTGTTCATCATTTATTTTCTGTGCTGTATATTTTGGTACCAAGTCAGCAATTAACTTCCTGCAGCCTTCTGGCTGTTTCGTGTGTACAGTCAGACTGCAGCATCTGAGGGCTCCATATCTGTAAGCTCAACCAACTGGGGAAGGAGACATGGTTAGGCCTGGGATAGCTGCATTTGTACTGAACACATACAGGTTTTTTCCTCATCATTATTCCCTAAACAATACAGTATATAATAAGAATTATCATGGTGCTGAGCTGTATTAGACATTCTGAGAAAGTAGAGATGATTTTAACATACACAGGAGGATATACACGTACCATTTAATAAAAGAGACTTGAACACCTGTGGATTGTGGTTTTGGTGGGGAGGTCCTGGCACCTGTGGATAACTGTGGCTACTTCTTCTTCCCCTAACAGGCTTAAGGACTGGAGAAGGCAGGAACCTTCAAATCTGCTCTCCCATCTGGGAGACTGACCGGTACAGAGCTCATCTGTGAACTGACTCTTGAATCCCTTCGCTTGTCCAACCAAAGATTCTGTGTAGGTCCCAGTGTATGCAAAGCACAGTGGTGAGGACACAGTGCTAAAAAAACAAACAAACAAATGAATCTGAGTCCTGCCCTTGAGATTACCTTCTCCTGAGCAAGGACAGGTCACAAATACTTACAGGCCACATGGGACTGCCTCTACATGCTGTGGCCTGAATATTTGTGGCCCACCAAATGTATATGTAGAAACCCTAATCTCAAGTTGTTGGTATGAACAGGCTAGATTTCAGGAGGCAATTAGGGGACTTAAAGCAGGAGCCCCCAGAGCAGTGTGCTCCAGCTGGCTTTTTATTATCATCGAAAGCACTAAAAGGTTCACCATCCCTGCCTCAGAGCCTCTCTGGCTCCTTCCATTATGTGAGGACGCAGCAAAAAGACAATTGTGCTAAACCAGAAAGGGATCTTCACAGACACTGTCTCTGCTGGCAGCTTGATCTCGGATTCCAGAACTGTGGGTAACAAGTTTCAGTTTGTAAGCCACCGGCTTTATTGTTACAGGAGCCTAAATAGACTGGGACAGAAAAGAGATCCATGGAAGCAGCTTTGGGACTGGGCAATGGGCACTGTCCCGTGAATGGACAGAGAAACAGTCTGTGTTGATTTGCACTTCTTCTGGCTGAAGACGTCTGCATCCACAGGACCCCTCGCTGCCGGAGCCTGGAGGTGCTCAGCAGGCCTGGGTCTGCACTCTCAGCCCTGGGCACCAAGCGCCTCCATTCTGGGGTGCAGGGTTGTTGCATTCTCTCCTCCTTTCCTGGGTGCCCGCTCTGCACGCAGACCAGGAGCTCCAGCAGCTCCAGCGACCATCTGCTTTGGCTCCTGTAGAGAAAACGCCAGGGAGGTTGGTGGGGAGAAGCAGCAGACTGGGAAGCCAAGGAGGCACGACCATCCTGCCCTGGTGTCATGGCCCTCGGTCCCTCCTTGAGGAGGTGCTTCAGAGCAGCCGAGCAAGACTGCTGTGTTCACTGCCTGGCACTTAATTTGAAACCATGGTTGGAGGGAGAAGAGGCCACTGGGAGCCCATCTCATGAAATTAGAACCTGCAGTTCCATGGAAGATGGATAGCAGAGGAAGGTGGGAGGCGCACTGTCTGGGAGAATGACTTGGAGCCACTGGAGGGTGGAAAGAGCCTGGTGGGGGTTCTGAAAGCAGGGTCAGCCAGATGCATCTCCAGGATGGATCGCTGGGGTTTTGTGGAAGAGTTTGCAAATGAGACCCCTCAGATTCTGAGGCTGCTGAGGCCTCAGCAGGTGACAGATTCTCTGCACAGAACACCCCAACACTTGCACGAACTGTGGACTATCTCCAGAAATCAGCCCGGGGCTGCTGGCTCCTGCTGCTTGGTGCCTTTGGGCATCTAAGGCTGAGTTTGACTCTACAATGTGAGACGGATGGACAAATCCAGTACAGTATTTCATCATTATTTTTAACACTAGTTTTCTCCTAAATGAAATCTTTCATGGACCCAAAAGTTGAGTCAGATGAGAGTAGAGCCATTCTATTTGAAGCTGGGGTTTCTGTCAGGCCTTCTCTCCTCCCCTAGGGCGGCCTTAGGATCTCAAGGCATCTCAGAGCACAGTGTGACCATCATTGGATTAGATCATCTCCACACGCCTTCCAGCTCTGTAATTATACTTGCTGGCGGGGCCGCCACAGCGGGGCGGGGCCCCCAATCTCTGTCACTTGGCCCCCACAGGGAAAGGTTTACTGGGGAAATCCCTGGGGTGGCTGATGGACTCCCTGGCCTTAGATGTCCTTGTCAGGCTACCTTCAGACTGAGAGTTCAGCGTGACAGCCCCAGGGCCACCTTTGCCACCACCTGCTGTGCATGTGTGTGACTCAGCACGCCTGCTAGTAAGACTGGGAGAGGAATGACTAGTGGCCCACACTCGCTTTCTGTCTCTTTGCTGTGTGGATAGGGGTCCAGCAGTTGCTGGTTCTGAGGGCTCTTGGAGAGAAATCATGACAATTTCCGGGTGTGACTCACATCTGTCTCTTTAAGCCAGGTGAGGTGATAACAGTACTGGCCCACCCCCAACCCCAAAACAAGAGCCACTGAAATTGCCTCAGAGCCTCTGAGGACAAATGTCCTGATGCTCAGGGTGGAATCAGTAGGGGTGGTGACTGGGAGCACAGGTCCAACATCCAGCTGTCCTTATCCCCACTTGATGACCCTGGGCAGGCTACTTGACCTGCCTCATGCCCCAGTTTCCTCATCTCTAAACTGAGGTGAATAATGTTAGCTAGTAGCACTTATCTCGTAGGGTTCCTGGGAAAATTACCGAGTTCAGACACGCACCGAGTGGCCAGAATGGCTGGCACAGAAGAGGGGTTTGTTATTTCTGTTCATTCACTCATCTTTGGTCCCTCAGGAAAGCTGCCTGGCTGAGGGCAGCTGCAACCCAGTCTGTACCCTGCTGGTGAAGTCAGCAGAGCCCCGGCCCCTGGAGCAAGGGCTGTCTCTCCCCAGAGTTGTTTTCTTTTTCCCCTCCCAACTCTTCCACCTTTCTGGCACCCACTCTTTCTAACTCAGCAGAGGGATCTGTGTACCAGTTGCCCCTTATTCTGTGCATCCTCCATCCTCAGGACTTGCCTTGTACTCAACCTCCTGGGTCACGCCTCTCAGAAACCCTCCTACCAGTAAAAGAGAGATTTAGACAGTGCCAAACCAGGATACATCTTCTACCAAAGGAAGAGAGACCCACACACATCTGCCATGGCCATGTGTATATCTGGCTTTATCCTCAACAGCACCTGTAAGGAATATGCTGCTGTAATCTCACTTCCCAGGGCTGACCCAGGTGAGAATCGGCAGCACTGGAGTTCGGAGGCCTGTCTCACCCTCAAGATCTGCTGTCCTGCCTTCCGTTTGGAAGTTCTCTCCCAGTGAAGGGATGTCAACCCTCTAGCATCTCATTTTAAAACCAGTCTGCCAGGTGCAGAGGTCCCTTGAATTCTAAAGAAGTTGCTATCTGTCTGTGGTTTCTTCCATGCCTAGCTGAACTGAAAGATTTTCAGCTTCAAACTAACAACTGCCATCGTGTAGTCATCGCTTGCTGAGGTCAGAGACTCCGAGATTCTAGGGATGGAGGGACACTGAGGCCATCTCACCCAACCATCCCCTGGATGAAGGAATCTCTCCTGCAACTTCCTGTCACATGACCACCCAAACCCTTCCCCACTCCATCCTTACCACCAGGCATTTGGAAGAAAGTCCTTCCTCATCCAGCTCCAGCCCCTTTGCTAGAGCTTCTCTCCATGAGTCCTAAGGACTTCATCTCTGTGGCCACATACTAGTCGTATCCCTTCCCACATGTTCAGATGGCTCTTGACTTTGCTGAGTCTTCTCCATGCCCCCAGTTCCCAGTCCTTCCAGGTCTTTCTCTTATGACATGGGTTTGGATTTTCTAACTCCCCTTGATTACCCGCTTTGCTTTGCCAATGTCTGATGAATTGTGAGCCAAGAACAAAATTCCTGGCATAGTAGAGAAGAATCTCACTCTAGCTCTTTGCTTCTCTCAACCCCGAGCTTTGCTTCAGCAGCACCTGTATCACGGTGAGTTAGTAAAATACAGGATTCATGGCCCTGGATTCATCTTTAAGGGAAGGCATTTTTCAGCCCTGTTTAGTAACTTTTTTCCCTGACACCTGCCAGTTCGTGCTGCAGTGTACACATATAAAACCTTATTTACCTCAATGTTATTTTCCATCTAAACTTCTTCCCAGTACTACTTACTTAGCGCTGCTAGCGGGCTAAACTGTGTCCCACCAAAAGACATGTTCAAGTCCAAGCCCCCATTGCCTGTGAATGTGATCTTATTTAGAAACAGGATCTTTGCAGATGAGATCCTGGTTAAGATGAGGATGGTGGCGGATCACAGCGGGCCCTGGTCTTATGACCTGTGTTCTTATGTGAAGAGAAAACAGAGACAGAGAGGGACAGGGATGACTGGCGTGTTCAGAAGGAGGCAAAGATTGGAGCATCTACAAACCATGGGATGCCAGGGCTCGGCAACAGTCACCAGGGCTGAGAGAGGCCTGCAGCCCATTCTCCTTCTGAGGCTCCAGAAGGAGCCACCAGAGCCAAAGCTCCTGAGTCTGGATTTGTCATTCCAGACAAGTCAGACAGTAAAGGGCCTGGTGTCAGTCAGGGAAAATGCACAAGAATCATGGCACCTGGGGAGCGGGGTGGCAAAAGAACTCCTAGGGTAGTGGGTGAGCAAGTGCACAAAGGAGGGATCGGAACCTCAAAGATCCTTTCTGCACTGGCCCCTGGGAACTGGGCCAGGCTGGAACTGAGTAGGATACATGGATCTCACCCTCTTTCTCCATCTGCTCACAGGCAGGGCCCTGCCGACCCTGGCCACACTGGCACCGGCAGCTGGTGCCCTCCAGGATGGGCACTCCATTGTTGAAGCAGGGTCCACAGCGGCAAGCATTGAATTCCATCAGGTACCGGTCCAAGGCCCGGCGCAGGTTCCTGCGTTTGGTCTCGAGAGGCCCCAGGTCAGTGTGCTGCAGCACCTCGTGGATGGGCTGCACCTGCAGGCACAGAAGAGTACAGGGAGCTCCCTGGGCTCCTCCCTTCCTAGGGCCCAGGACCTGCTCCCTGCCAGGCTCCGAGGCAGGTGCCCAGTGTTCTCCAGCCATCATGGAACCTGGCTTCCATGGAGCTGTCTGTGGACAGGCACTGAACACCCAGCTCAGAGACGACAGAGATGAGAAGATGAGGCTCCAGGTGCTCAGCAAGTGGCTCAGGAACACACAGATATTCAGGGCAAGAGGCACTGCGAAGGTGGACCTGGGCCCTCAGGACCCACACCCTCCCCATCCCAGAGGCAGAAAAGCCCTCGGAAGTTAATTCGTGCCAGCTCCTCTACCACCCCCAGCACTTGAGGAGTGCAACACATCCATGTGTCTGGGTGTCTGGGTGTCTGGGTGAATTTTCTGGTTCTGTTTTCCACCGTTGCGTGAGCAAAGGTAGCTGTGCTGCTGCAGCTGAGCAATCCCCTGACCACATGAGCAATGCTTAGTGGTGGTGGGTGGGATCACTGACAGCTGAGGCCACATTCAGTTGGAAGACCCTTGTTGGCAGGAGGGGGCTTGCCTTGTAGGTATTTGGTAGCATCTCTGTCTCCTGATGTCACAAAGGTCCCCTGGGGGCAAAATTGCCTTGGGCTGAGAACCAGTGGGTGTAGGAGGAAGAGCATTGAATCTGGAGTCTGAAAACCTGGCTTCAAATGCTAGCTCTCTTACTCCAGCTGTGTGACCCTTGCCCTGTGACACATTGAGCCTCCCTCCCTGGTGAGAATAGGCACCCTCCTGCTCTGGGGTTTAGAGGGGGCGAAGGTAGGTGACACAAAGGAAAGTCTTGTCACACCGTGAAAGCCATAAATGCTGTCCACTTCATGACTGTGTGGCCTAGGAGGCTTACCTGCCCCTCTCTGATCCCAGTCCTCTTTTACTATAAAACGGGGAGAGTAGCTACTTCCTAGAATGTGTACGACCTGTGGAAGTAATGAGATACCATTGTAGAGGAGAGGGAAGAGTAAAATAAAATAAGGCACCATTTTTACTAGTTAGATGTGGTGATAGTAAAAAAGAAAACTGAACTAAACCCCAGAGGCACTGTTCAAACTGCACATGCATATGCTATCCTCGGCATGACTACCACGCTGCTATGCATCCCAACAGAATCACAGGATGAAAGCTTTCTCCAGAGGACCCTGAGGCCCCAGGAGGGAAAGTGATTTGCCAAAGTGACAGGAGTGAGCCACACCAGGGCAGAGGGCACTTGTCACAGCCTTGACTGGTTCCTGGAAATGAGGACAGAAAGGTCTGTGGTGACAGACCTTGGTGTGAGGTCAGGAGCCCTGGTAGAAGTCACCAGGCAGGTGACATCTGGGCTGGTTGGGCCCCAGCCAAGAGTAGGAGTCACTTACTGGAAGTTCAGGGAACTTGGGCCCATGTCCAGGATGTGGGTGCAGGACGGGCTGCCCTATGGCTCTGGCTGAAGCTGACTCAGCTTCCCTTCCACCTTGCTGTGGGGTTCAGCACTCAGCCTCATGTCTCCTCCCAGGACCCTTGGGAAGTGGGAAGGAAGCATTCCCTGGGATGGACAGGTTGGACTTCAAGGAGAGCAGACAGGTGGAGAAGGAAGGGTCTTAGAATGTTACAGCTTGGGAGACATTGGCAATGATCTTGCCTCCATTTTACAGATGAGCAAACAGACACAGAGAAGGGAAATGACTTAGCTATGCAGCGTAAACTAGCACGTAACACATAATAATACATAACCTAGCCACATATTGTACACCACAAAATCATACTATTGTGTTCACTATCTAAGTGCATGCTATACATAAATGCTGTGAGCTCTGGTGAAGGGTGAGTAAAACATAGTTTCCACTCTGAACACCAGGTCCCAAATAGCTACTAAGTGGTCTCTTTGTCTGTCTGTCTGTCTGTCCTGTCTTTTCTTTGATTCATCCTTCATTTCTCTGGGGGCTTTCTAGCAAGGAGCTAGCAGTATCACTTACATCCTCTAAACCCTGTTAGTGGCTTACAGTGTCAAGTTCATACTTCTTGGGGACTGTGTGGCTTGTGAGGAGATCACTAGTGCTTCAGTCAGACTGGGGTGGCTCACACCAGGCTGTCATTTGCCAGCTGTGATGGACCTGTTTTCTTGATTGATATTTATGAAGCACCCACTCCTCCCTCTCTCTCTCTCTCTCTCTCTCTCTCTCTCTCTCTCTCTCTCTCTCACTCTAACCTGGTGACTAAGATATTATCCCACAAAATGGGGCTCCAAGGATGAGTAACTTCTTCAAGGTTGCACATGGAAAAGGTAACTGAGCCATGATCCAAACTGTATCTTTCTTCTTCCAAATACAGAGCTCTTTTTCCCAGAGATAATATTTGGTCTTCAAGTTATGAACTTCAGACTTCCCCTTGGACGTTTTGCTCAAGGCAAATACAAAGTTCACCTCTTGACCATAAAAGTTTATGTATTTCTCCTGATACCAATTTTACAGTTTTTGCCCAAATCACTAATAGCTTGATGATAGCCATTTTCAGCCCCTGTGTGAATTACAGGTGCGTGAAAGTGGTCCCTTAGTTATTGGAGAAGAAATGAAATCAAGGTTAATCCATCTGACCTTTCTCTTCATAGAAAGCAGAGTGTTATAATAGACTTTTGGGCTTAGCTGTTGGTATGTGTTTTCGAAGTATCTCCATACCTGTGATTTTAAATACATGTAGAAAAATGGCCAAGGGTAGAGAGGAGAAGTTTGAGAAAGCAATTACTATATATTTCACTGGAAAAGTAGGAAACATGAACTTTTCATTTTAGTGGACTTTTCTGTATGTTAAGGGAAGTGGTTTGAAAATTCAAGCACACAGGAGCTCTGTGTCCTTAAAAATGATTTCCCCAGCCTCCATTTCCTAATCTTTTCCATGGGAGAAATATCTTTGTCAGAGATCTGTTTACTGATGGATAGAAAACTTAGAGCAGGGACAGCAAATTATACCCTGGTCCAAGCCCAGCCTGCAGCCTGTTTTTGTCTGGCCCTTGAGCTAAGAATGGTTTTTACTTCTTTTGGTTTTTTATTGGCAATACTAGAGATGGATCTCAGGGCCTCTGTACTAAATTAAACTCCCCAGCCCTTTATTTATGTATTTGTTTGTTTGTCTTTGAGACAGGGTGTCTGTAAGTTGTTCAGGCTGGGCTGAACCTGCAATATTCTAGCCTCAGCCTCCCTGAGTGCTGGGATTACAGATGTGTGCCACCGCGCCCAGCTTGGTTTGTACATTTTTAAGGACTTGTAAATAAAGAAGAAGAGGAAGAATAGCAATGACTGCTATGATTACTACTCCAACTTTGTGTCTGAGACTGTTACGTGGCCCACAAAGCCTACAATATTCACTATCAGGTCCTAGGGAAAACGTTCACTGACCCATAACATTATAGAAGATGTAACTTTGAAAGTGTTGCATGTATAAATGTGAGCTCTTTGTTGAATGTGGCCTAGCCCTGTAGAACTGCTGGTTCTGCCAGCATAAACCTGGGCCCCAGTGACAGAGTAGATTTCTAGCCCTCTTTCCCCAGGGCAGTGTCTAAAGTTCCAACCTCCTCTTGGCAGGCCTGGCCAAGACCACCAGTTCAGTATGCCATTACATTTAATCTTGTTCTTTGATGGGCTCACAATCAGAAATATAAAATGATCTGGTCTACTTCACTTTCATTCCTCATAGACCCGGGGTTTCTTCAACTGCAAAAAGACTTACCTCAAAATCGATGACAACAGGATTATACTTTAATGATCTCCCCCAGGAGCGGTATGTAATGGTGCTGCTGTTTTGTGTCAAACCCCCGGAGCCACCAGCACTGCCACCTCGCACTCGAACAATGATGTCTTCCAAGCCCATGGCATTCTTTGCTTCTTCTCCTATCAAGAAGATGACTGCATTAGTTCAATTCCCCAAAAGCCAAAGGACTGGCTGGCCAGCCAGAAGGCTGGGACTAGTGCTCCTAGGCTCTCCTCTAAGATGATTCCCCGGCTTCTACACTGCTTGGCTGACAAGGCAGAAGAAAGGACCAAGACTTAGAAACAGACTCATCCTCCAGAGCACAGCAGATGGCCCAGCCTAGCAAGGAAGATAAAGGGAAATGGACAATGAATTGCCATCCATCTATTCATTCATTCCTAGGTCAAATGTTTATTCAGCACCTGCTACTTGCCAAATAGGTCCAATCAAATATTATAAGTGCAGTGACGAATGTCATTAGAGAGCTCTGTGAGGCCACAGGGAAACAAACAAATGGTCAGACATTCCCTGGGGGGTAGGGGTGAATTGTACAGGAAGGCAAGTATTTGCCTGGTGAATGGAAGGACAGCAGAGAGGGGAAGCAATCTGACTTTTGGCCCTGAGGCCTGAGCCTAATACAACAGATGTAACTTTACTCTCTTTACTATGTGCTTCACCCATAGATAGAAATTTTCATAGTCCCTGACTCCTCTGTGTCTCCCTGAATCCTGGAAAAAATACACTCAATATATGTTTGATGAATGAATAAGTCGCCCATGAATACAGGAACATCCACGTTGACTTCTTCAGAAAATGCCACCTAATAGGCTTGTGTAATCCTTCTCCCATCGTTTTTCTTTTAGCTTCGATTTGGATTTGGTAATCATGTTCTCCTCTGCGAGTGGACTTGTTTCCTCCCTCTGTTACTTGACACGCCATCAACCCAGCAGACCATTTTCCGTTCCTTTCATCCCCATTCTTGCTTATCTTTGTCTAGCACTTGGAGTCTAGGAAGGTGGCCGAGATACAGTCAAGCATTTCTCAGGTGATGTCAGGGTATGGTAGATTCAAAATAGAACCACTACATACGGGTCATGGTTTGGGGTATCAGCACCTGCAGTGTGACTACTGGCTGAAATGGAATCAGTTGGGGGGATCACTTTCAGGCCCTGATTGCATGTCCAAGGGAAAGGCTAGCTTCCCTTTTGGGGAGACCCACTACTAAACACTTGCCCATTTCACCAGGTCCAGCGTTTTTGCAAAATTCTCCTGATAAACGTCCTTCGATTTTTTGATTATCACCATACTCAAAGCCCAGGGCACCTCCAAGGCATTTCTTTGTATCTTCGCTGGTAACACCTGCAGTAGGGAGACAGAGAAATGCAAACTGCTGAGATACTGGTGCAAGTTGCTATGGTGCAACCAGCTCACAGTAAAAGCTAACTTCAGCCTTAGAGTCCTGGAGATCTGGATTGAAGTCCCAGTTCTTTTACCCTAAGTCAGTTTTCTGTCTAATCCCAATCCAAATGCTTCTTGAAATGAGAAAGGATATGTATTGCACATACTAGTTGTTCAAAAATCCTAGTTTTCTCCACTTTTCCCATTCTCTCTTGGCTTCTCTTGAGGCAACAATTCTAAGATGTCCATCTCCACATGGCCCTAGCTCTGCAAATTGCCTGGCCTGTGACAGGCACCACATTGCACAGGCTGTCCATCAGTAGAAATGTCTCCCTCCCTTCCTCTTTCCCATCTTTCTAAAATCTACTCAAGTTTCCATGCAAATATCAATTACTTCATGGAGCTTTTTGGGGTCAGAATAATCTTCACCGTCTTCAGAGCTACCGGTGTTCTTTGGGCCCCAATGATCATATTCATCGTAATTCTTTTTTGTCAGGTCTTTTTTGTACCCCAGAGGGGTGGTCAGAGACCCGCTTGAAGATGGATAGATCACCATAAGAAGTTTGCCTGCTCTTACGACCCTGCTATGCCTATCAGTCCCACATTAGCTAGCTCTGGATTTGTCTACATCTAAGGACTCACCAAGGAACCTGCATTTCGAAGATATGAAAAAAACACTGCCTAAAGCAGGAAAGCCGCAGCTCTGATCCACAGCCTGGCCATGCACAAAACTGGCAGCCAGCCAGACAAGACAGGGCCAGACGAGGCGAGCAGACTGGAGCAAGATGTGGACCACACTACAGAGCCCAACTTTATCTCCAGCAAATGGGGTCTTCTGAAAGTTATAAACTACAGTTTGCATTTTGAAACATCATTGCTTTTAACTAGAACTATAAAATAATTACCAACCATAGGATTATTCTGGCAAGCAGAAAGGAAAAAATAATTTAAGCCTGTCATTCAATTGAGCTAAGAATTAGATTAAATATTTTCAAGGGTGTGTTGAGAATCGAACTTCACTGGCCTGTATCTCCTCATCAAACTGCAAAACTCTGAGGCCAAGGGTGTGAATCTTCCTGTTTACTCCTCTACACAGCAGCGCAGCCTGCTGTAGTGTAGGAGTTTGGTAAGTATTCAAAATAAATGTTTGACAAATGGGAAAAAGAGGGAATAAATAATTGCCACAAGCCCTTTGATAAGAGTTTTTGATAGAAGGAATCTTAGAACTTCAAATCTAGTCACTGTTTCTCTCTATGAGATTGGAAAAGAGCCATGATACCACTGGGCCTCAGTTTCCCTCATGTATGGAGAGAAGGGGTTGTCCTCATTTCAGATGCACCCTCTGTGGCTCTGTGAATGTGTTTCCAGATCCCTCCCAAGCTGGCGATGCCTCGGGGAAGTGGCACTCTGAGTACCAGCCATTTCCACTCAAGCACTTTTAATTTTTAATGCATAACTAATTGAAGAAGATTTAGCATATTTAATTGTTTTGATTAAAAATGCTTCAACAGTGATAAACCAAAGTGGCTGAAAAGAATTCACAGGCAGAAGCAAGAGTGATTGCTTAGGTGAGTGGTAGAGTTAAAGTCACAGGCCTGGCTGATTCATGGGAGCTGAAGGATGCCAGCAGGGTAGTTATGCTCCTGCAAGATCCACCCACAGTCCACCACAGGCTGCCAGCAGAGGAGGGTTCCAGGCTGATTGGAGCTGGGAGACTTCACTGCAAAGAATTGCCTTCTGAGGATCCCCAAACAGGGTCCCAGCCTGTAAGGGGAGGTCTGTGACTCCTACAGAATCATAGAATGTGAGAGCCACCATGCTTTCAGACAGCGAGCCTTCGCTTCTCATTTACAGTGGAGATGCTTGAGATTCCGAAAGGTTAATTATCTTGCCTAAGGTCATACACCTGAGACTCCCATTCCTTTGCCTCTGTCTTGCTCAGAAGCCTGCAGTATTTTCAGTAATCCCAGTTATTGCATCAGACTAAAGAATTCTGCTGTCAGAGAGAAACAGGTACGCAGCGCCTATTGGGTGCTGTCACTGGCACACAGCACCAGTTGTGTGTTGGGAAGCACAGGCATGGTGGGAATAAACCAATGTGAACACATGAATCTGAATAAGCTAGCAGGTTTGCGGCAATGTACCAACTAAAGATTAATATGTATCCCGAGAGCTGCTTGTTTCACTATGCCAGGGCTAGAAGAGGAATCTCTCATCAGAAGATGCAGGAGAAGCCAAAATCAGAGCTTTCTACAGAGAGCCCATGGGAAACCAAGAACAACAAGCTGGCATTGGGGGCAGAGAAGGTCAACCCTGTATCAAAATCTAGGAGCTGGAACCCTGGATTTTCAAAACAGAGTTTTCAAAACCAGAGTAAGATGAAAACAGAGTAAGAGAGATGTAGAGGAAGCCACCACGTAGAACTTGTGCAGGCCTGGGTAGATGGCCCATACCTACAGAAGCTGTGTAGATGGACCATACCTGTAAACCATTGCTCCACACCCGTCCCATCAGGCTAGGCTCCACAGTTGTTATCTCCGAACTTTGGAACTTCTTGAACTCTGATTATTCCCGAACCTGACTATCCACTCAGTTCAGCTGGAAGGTGATTAGAAGTACAGATTCCTGGGCTCCATCCCTTCAATTCTGATTTTTAAACAAGTATGTCAGGTGATCGCTGTGTAATGAATCCGGGACCAGATGCTGAGTGCTATGGCCCTACGAGAACCTCTGGTGGCATGGCTGGCGGCGGTGGCATCTAGCAGGTCTCAGTGACAGCCTGCACATGGATGCAGCAGTCAGGCTCACCACATCCCTACCAAATAAGGAGCAGGAAAAGCCAAGGATAATTCAAGCAAACAGTCAGGATCCAAAAAGCTCTTGGGACACTGGACAGATGCACAGACCATGCAAAGCAAAATGAGACTCAGCTGAGAAGGCTGCAATATTCTAGCCTGAGGACAAAACACCAGATTCGAGAGCACGGTGAGGAGGTGAAGACTGGATGGCGCTCGGCAGAACAACCAGGGATGAGGCATTGGAGCTTTAGATGGCTCTCAGCTCAGGAGGACGAGGAAGCCACGTAAAATTATAATTGGTAAAATAAAGGAAGGGTCCTCTCCCACTCCTCTCCACTGTTAGGAACCCAGAGCCTGTGTAAACTTCTGGGAGCCACAGTTTCTACAGGAAGTAAGAAAACAAGACTGCCCTCAGTGAGCATCCCTGAGCCTTTACAAAGAAGGAAGGCCTGTGATATGTGGCAGTGTAACCAAAGTAGAAGGATATGATGCTTAGCAAAATAAGCCAGGCCATGGGCCAGGATTTAGCTCGGTGGTTCCGCTGCCTGCCTTGAAAATGGAAGGACCCGGGTTCAATCCCTGGTATCAAAAAAAAAAAAAAAAAAAAAAAAAACCAGGCCCAGAAGGACAAAGCCCACGTGATTCTACTTGCGAAGAACCTAACGTGGTCAAAGTCATAGATTTAAAGGGCGCTTAATGGTGGCCTGGGGCTGGAGGCTGGGAGCTGCTAATCAATAGACATAAAATCTCAATTATGCAAGATGAATGAGTTCTAGAGACCCCTGTGACATCGTCCCTGTAGAGATACCACACTGTATACTTACCATTCTGTGAAGGGAGCAGATGTCTTGTTAAGCGCTCTTACAACAAAAATATAAAATAAAAAAGGCAGGGAGTTCTAAGTGAAGAGTCAGCCTGAGAATGAAGAAATTCAACACCACATTTTTGGGGAATGTTTGAAGGGACTGAGAAAGTTGATCTTCTCTTTAAGAAGGACTTGTTGGGCCAGGGATTTAGCTCAGTGGTTCCGCCGGCTGCCTCGCAAGCAGAAGGACCTGAGTTTAATCCCTGGTCCCCAAAAAAAAGAAAGGCCTTGTCTCAGAAGACAGTGAGCTCCCCATCACTGGAGGGGACCAAGCAGGGGCTGGCTGCCTACCTGATGGGTGCAGTAGAAAGGTTTAAAGAGTGACGAAGATCAGTGGTCCTTTACGGTATCCTCTAATGCTGAGATTCTGAAATTGTAACAACGCACCAGGCCACTTTGGGAATGTCTGAGGCAACTTTAATGATATTTTTGCTGTGCACAAGGCATCCTGGAAATAAAAGGGGGGGGGGGGGCTAGGGAGAGCCAATGAGTTTAGAGTCATGGGTGGGAAGTGGGCGTGTACACAGGCAACTGTGCTGGGAGAGGACTCTGACCGGGGCTCAGGCCAAGGGAGGCCTCCTTCCTACAGGAGGCTGTGCTCAGGAAGGTCAGCAAGGGGGTTGTGAATAGTCACCATCCCAAGGCAGTGCGGGGTGGCTTGGGGGCCCTGAGTTTCTTCCCACCCTACTCTGGCCCCCAAAATAGCTGCTCCTGTGCCTGTTTGGCAGTCCAGAAGACCAAAGGACATGTCTCCAGCCACCTTTGCTTGTTTCCCTCTTGGTCTTTGAGATGGTACAGAAGGGAGAGCCCCCCTTCCCACTTCCCCCTCCTCCACAAGGCTGCTCTCCTTCTCTGTGTGGCTCTGAGGCAGACCAGGCAGCTCGACTTCTAGGGTACAGAACACAGAAAGTCTCTGAGACCCCTCATTAAAAGCATCAGGTGGAAAACAGCAGGTGTCACGCATTATTTATCTTTCTGCAACAAATAGTATTCAGGTTGCTATGATCTATCTGCTGCTTCTTCGCTATGTTAGTTTCCTCCAAAGACAGCCTAAAAGGCAAAGCGAATGATATGGTCCATGTCTTGTGTCACACTGGGAAAGACAGTCAGTCGGTTTCCTGGGCTGGCTGGGAGGCACAGGCTAACTCATCCGGCCCTTCAAGGCTCCATGTATCCATGAAAACTAATGGTTCCTCCCAAGGGCCCCAGAATGGTGGGAGTCCCTCTGTGCCTCAGCACATGCTGTTCTTCCTGGCTGGAAAGTCATTGGGTTTATCTACCGAGCTCCTGACAGCCTC